CAAGAGGATTCCAGCCCTTACATTATTGACTGAATAACATATTAATACTGTTAATAAATGCACACATAATCCAGGAAACAAAAAAAACAAACCCCTCCAAAAAAAAAAAAAAAAAGCATAGCGAAACCAGAAAAGCAGCCAGCAATGCAATAGCATTTTGGGGCTCTCAGCCCTTAGTCTTAGAGGGCAGCTGGCACTTATGAAGTTGGGGGGGAGGGATATCTTGCAACCCACATAGTTATGAAGAAGAGGTACACAAACAAGAGTGAGTGATGAAAGTTTTACAGAAAACTCAGACACAGAGTCTGATTTTATTAGTAAATTTACTAAGACTTAAAACAGGCATCCTCAAACTGCGGCCTCAGCTGTTTGGGCCTCCAACTCCCAGAAGCCCTAACAAGCTTGTTCAATTTTCAGGAATTCTGGGAGTTGAAGGCCCAAATAGCTGGAGGGCCACAGTTTGAGGATGCCTTACTTAGAACATCATGCCAAACACATCTGGTAGCAGATGTTGCCCAGATGTTTGGGGTGTTCTTAAATCCAAGTGGGAGCAATGTAGGTTCATCTGGGCACCTCTGCTTATGTGCGCCTTCACAAAATCAAAATCCAAGGCAAATACATCCAGCCAAAAGAAAGCCAAAGGAAAAGGGAGAGAGGCCCAAAGCAGTGGCAGGTGTGGCAAGCCCAAAGGGATAGAAGCACAGGTGGAAACTGAAAGAAATGGGTCAGGCATTTCCCTTTAACTTTTCATACTCATACAGCAAAAGGGCACAGGACCAGCCAGGCTGTTTGCACAACACCTTTCCCGGCTTAGCACACAAACATACACAAAAATCGCCACAGCAATGTCAGTGACAATGAAACCAATAGACAATACCATGGATGGCCCCCACAGTCCACCACGTCCAAAACCTGCCCCCCACCCCACCATGCTCACATGGAATTAGTGGCTGGTGATAACGAGAGTGAGGGAAGGCAGAGAGGGTACTCTAACACTGTTCCCCTTTTCGAAAACTGGGGTGCTTCAGAGGTTGAGGTAGCATTAAACATTTCAGATCAAGGCCTTGAATGAGAGAAACTGAGCACAAAACAGCTAAAGCAATTGTTTCCACTGAACCACTTTTGAGACTCTATATTGGGATAAAGGTTAAATAAAAATAAGTAGATAGACAATGTTTGTTGGTAGAAAGAACTCGGAAAGAACTCGGATCTAAATTCATGCTTTTGTTATATCCTGAATAGACTACTGCAACGCTCTCTACTTGGGGCTGCCTTTGAAGACCTCTCGGAAGCTTCAACTAGTCCAACAGTCGGCAGCCATGTTGCTCACTGGAGCGGCGTACAGGGAGCGTACAACTCCTCTGTTACTCCAACTCCACTGGCTGCCGATCAGCTTCCGAGCACAATTCAAAGTGTTGGTTTTAACCTTTAAAGCCCTAAACAATTCTGGCCCAGATTACCTGTCCAAATGTATCTATTACGAACCATCATGAAGCTTAAGATCGTTAGGAGTGCTCTCGATCCCACCACTTTCGCAAGTGCAGTTGGTGGTGGGAGACAGAACTTTCTCAACAGTGCCCCCCCCCCCCCGGTCTGTGGAACTCTCTCCTAAGGACATCAGGTTGGCCACCTCCCTCCTGTCCTCATAAAGACAACTGAAGACTTAGCTTTGGGACCAGGCGTTGAATTAGTGGACAGCAGCAATTGGCAAGAAAACTTAGGATATCTGCGACATTGGATTTACGGATTTGGACTTGGTTTTGATTGGCATGTTTAATTTATTGTTTAATGAATTTCTATAATGTGTTTTTAATGGGTTTTTTTTACTGTTTTAAATGTAACTTTTGATTGTTTATATGCTGATAGCATCATATGATGCTTGTGTGAGGCTACCCTGAGTCCCCCTTTGGGGGGAGAAGGGCAGGGTAGAAATGCATTAAATAAATAAATAAATAAAATAGTCCCAACTAAAACACAGCCATTGAATGGATGAGACTGACAGAAGTCTTAATACTGATTTAGTGGGTCTGATCTAGCCTGAACAAGCAATTGGATATCATGTAGACCTCCTCATCCAATAAAGACTACTAAAACACAGGTTTTGTTGTTACACCAGTCAAATTAATTAGATTGTTCTGACTAAGCAAAGTTGTTTTGTATCTATTGTTGAAGCTCAGTCAATAACACTTCACTTAACAAAACCATTCTACATGATAGTTCATTGCAATAGTGATGATTTTATTTTATATTGCTCAGTGTCCCCTACAATAAAATCTATTCCTGCTCAGGAACAAGCTTTGATCAAATCAACTGGATTTCCTTCCAGGTGAATGAGGACTGGACTTCACTCTTCGAGTGTGATCCAAAATAAATTCCATTACAATTAGCAAAATAAATTGAACTATATATTTTACTTCTCAGTCTTGGCTATGTGGGGTATCATTTAACTGACAAATTCCTTTTGGATGTCTAACTTACTCTCTGAGGGATGAAGAGAATATTCAGATTTTTTTTTAGGAAAAAAAAGTTTTCCAAGGGTCAAGAAACTTGATGATAATATTCTTCACAGTTTAGGACTTATCCTACGCAGAATTGGCATGTGGTTGTTTTGTACAGAATGTAACATACCTGCACAAAAATAAAATTTATGTGCAGAAAATGTTGTCGTTGGGACCTTTTCTGTGCAAAATTCACACCCCGCATGGTATTTTGTGCACAAAAACACCATATCCAAATATTGCATAGAGTAAGCACCACATTGTGAATATTTTCAAAATTGTACAGCCTTTGCACATTATGTTGCTGAGAAAAAGTGATAAATTTTCTAATTCCTTCCTTCAAGAAGAAAAGCAAAATTCACACACTGCATGGTATTTTGTGCACAAAAACACCATATCCAAATTTTGCATAGATTAAGTCCCACATTGTGAGTATTCTCAAAAATTGTACAGCTTTTGCACATTATGTTGCTAAGAAAAAGTGATAAATTTTCCAATTCCTTTCTTCAAGAAGAAAATCAAAATATCACCACCTTATATCCCTATATGAATCAGATTATCAGAAATATCAGAGATAAGGATAGCTACCTTTTGCCTCTGCCAAAATCAGTGTTCTGTGTTGACTCAGAATGCATGAATACCTCCAGACAAAGGACTCATAGTGCTAACAGTCAAAAGACATGGTGCAGCTATTCCATCTTTCCCTCCCTAATAATTTTTTGACAAAAAAAACATGATGGGAAAACACAAAAGGGTTATGAGTAGAAGATTATAAGGTTTTAAATGTATTTTGATCTAATATTTATCTTTTGTATAATGTTGTATGTAATGTGTTGTATGTTGTCGGCATCGAATTGCTGCCGTTGTAAGCCACCCTGAGTCCCCCTTTGGGGGTTGAGAAGGATGGGGTAGAAATGTTGGAAATAAATCAAAATAAATAAATAAATAAATAAATACAACATTTAGATTCCCTGTAAAATTTTGCAAATGGTGGAAGGCAATTGCAAAATTAAAACCTCATGTAGAAATAGCCCTTCTCAGTAGCGTTCTTCTAAAATGATAGTGGGGATCCAAATGACCAATTCAGTGCTCCAAATTACTTTCAAATGACTTGCTTGGTGAATCAGGTTCTCAGTCACGAAAGGTGACATTAGCTTAACCATTGTTCCAAATTAAAAGAGGGAATGTTCAACTGGAGGAACAAAACCATCCCCAATATTCTCTTGTCAACATGGCCAATGAGGGACCAAAACCCAGGGTCTTCTTTCCCCCTCTCTGCCTGCCTCAGTCTCTCGTAACCATCCAATGGAATTAGTGCATAAACACCAGAGCACACCCACACTGTACCAGCTCTAGAGCTCCGGCAGATCCGCTGGAGTAGGAAGGAGGAGGAACAGGAGTAGAAGGAAGATGAAGAGAGAGAGAAGGAAGAAAGACAGCAATAAAGTTAAGGAAGTCCATAAACAGCAGAGGGAGGAAAAAACACTTAAACAACACCTCCCCATTAATATTAGAAACTACAACTGAAATGCAAGCAAGATCCTCCTCCAGTGTAGCAAGTTGGGTTTCTCCTCTAACAGTTTAAAGGACATCCAGAAGGTGTGCTCAGGACAATATTACATTAGAACAGTGATTCTCAACCTGTGGGTCCCCAGATGTTTTGGCCTTCAACTCCCAGAAATCCTAAAATCTGGTAAACTGGCTGGGATTTCTGGGAGTTGTAGGCCAAAACCTGGGGACCCACAGGTTGAGAACCACTGATGCTTTAAGCGGAGGCACCCGTTTTCCTATCATGTGGCTGCCTCTTGCGGAATTCTGGGAAATGTAATTTAAGGAAGCCAAGGAACTCTCTGGTTGAGAATGTCAAAGGCTCCACTCTAAACTACATTTCCCAGAATTCTGCAGGAAGCAGCGACATGCTAGGAAAGCAGGCACCTCCGCTTTGGAATGTTAATGTGATATCATCCTAAATAGAAATAGTTATGCATGCCTTTTTTTTAAAGTACTCTGCTGTTACACCGGGGATAGATCAGGGGAATGTGGATTCTGTTGCCAACACTGAAACCAGAAATCGTCTGGAGGGCAACAGGACACAAGGAAAAGAGCTATTCTCTGTATGTCACACAACATGTTGAATTTTCCTCCTCTGCAGAAAAGCCCAAACATCAACATTTTGGGAAGGGGTCAGATCTTCTGTTTAGTGTTTTGAGGGATGATCTGGATTCTAGGAATGGGTGAGATGGTAGGCCTGTCCTAGGACGATAAAGAAAATTGGCATTCCTACAGAAAGACTAAGGGAAATCAGAGCTAGAGCTGTGTACGTTAGATCCAAGAGGAGAAAGCAGAATGTGAGAGATTTGACTAACAAATAAATAAATACGGGTGCCACTAAGGAGAACACTGACACGGACACCAAACTAGACAACCCCACTCAAGATGCTGAGAGGCTGGGAATTCAAAGGCCATTGGTTTATCTCCAGAGGTTTCCCTATGTCTACTCACCTGAAGCATCCCCCGGTGCTGCAGTCCGCCCAATGTTGGGCAGAAGGTACTCAATATTCGGCACTGATTGGGTTTCCTGCTCATCTACAGGGGTCTGTGAAACAAACACATATCTGGTTAAGATGAAAGGTTTATGTTGCCTTTCGCATGTACAATACTGTCAAAATATCTCTTTCTCTGAAGCAACGCTATGCTGAAATCCCAGAATTCCAAAATGTCCATTTTTCTTCCCACATTCCTTCTGCAACACTAAAAAGATCGAGGGTGGAAGGATGAGAACTGCTTCTTATACATTCCCACCTCCTACATCTTACACCAACATCAAAACATTCCATCAAAGTGATGTTGTAGGTTTCTCAGGCTATATGGCCATGTTTTAGAAGCATTCTCTCCTGACGTTTCGCCTGCATCTATGGCAGGCATCTTCAGAGCTTGTCTAGCAGTCTGTGGAACCAGCAGCCATCACTAATGGATCATTTTCTTCTTCTCAGTTACTCACCTTCTCACCTTTGTCTTCCTTGTCACTGAAAAACCAGTCTGACTATGGAAGAAGAAAAAAACACAAGAAGAACAATCAAAACGACAGTCCCAAGTGCTGGTAACACTTATCTCAACTATATGTGTGTATCTATCTCCAAGGATGAAAACAAATGTATCATGTAATAAGGAAATCATGTTAGTTTCTTTAACCATGGTATTTGTGCACTAGCTATGATTTTTCTGGCTTTTCACTTTGCATGAGAAATCTCTGTTACATTGACACTGGGTTTGTTATTGGAATTTCCTTTTGCTCTCTATGCTTCAGGAAGGCTGCTTGCTTATTACAATTTTTACGGGTGAAGGACATGTTTAATTATACGATCATTCATATACAAGGGTTGAATGAAAAGTAATGCCTCCACCTTCGTAACTCCTCAACAGATGGCAGTACTGGTATGCGGCAGGTACTGGCTTGTTCAGTAGACTCTCCTCTACAGTTCCATTTTGGCGGGATGCCTTAGCATTGAACGGTTGTGTTGTTAAAGTGCAAAGTATGGAACCCTGTGCAGACAGTTGGTCAATGCAACTTAAGCAACGTGCAGTCATTGAATTCTTGACAGCAGAAGGTGTCACCCCAAAGAGATTCAAGCTGTTTATGGTGATTGTGTTGATGTGAGTACTGTGTGTCGTTGGGCGAGTAAGTTTAAAGATGTTGAGTTGGGGACATCTGACTTGCATGACAAAGAGTTGGGCACTGAACATAAACGGCTTGCATTCTCTGATGAATTTCCATTTGGGGTGACACCTTCTGCTGTCAAGAATTCAATGACTGCACATTGCTTAAGTCACATTGACCGACCGTGTGCAGGGTTCCATACTTTGCACTTTAACAACACAACCATTCAATGCTAAGGCTTCCCACCCAAATGGAACTGTAGAGGAAAGTCTACTGAACAAGCCAGTACCTGCCACATACCAGTACTGCCATCTGTTGAGGAGTTACGAAGGTGGAGGCATTACTTTTCATTCAACTCTCATACCATCATCCCTTTCAAAATAAAAATATAGAAAAAAAACTATTATTTCAGATTGCAGTGTTTGTGATAACAAGACAATTGGTACTGTCTCACAAAACTGAAAGTTATTCCACATACTTTGCAGAACAATACTTTTTTTCGTGTCAGATGTGACTTGAGAAACTGCAAGTCACTTCTGGTGTGAGAGAATTGGCCGTCTGCAACGACGTTGCCCAGGGGACACCTGGATGTTTGATCTTTTACCATCCTGTAGGAGGCTTCTCTTATGTCCCTGCATGAGAAGCTAGAGCTCGACGGATGGGAGCTCACCCTGTCTCCGGATTCCAACCACCAACCTGTCATTCAACCAGTCCTGCCGGCTCCTTAGAACTATACTATTACTCACATAGAAGTTCATAGATTCATAAAATTGGAAAGGACTGCAGGAGTAATCTAGTCCAGCCCCGTGCCTACAGGAATAGACAATTAAAAATTTGACGTCCAATATTTGTTTAAAGCCCCCTATTTTTGAGAAGTCCAATCTATTCCACTACCAAACAACTCTTATTATCAGAAAGTTATTCCTAATGCTTAGGTGGAATCTGTTGCCTTGTAATTGGAAACAGAGACAACAAACACCTTCTCCTACAATTCTGAAAAGCAGCAGAAGCGTATGCAAAAGGTATAATTTCTTTGACACTTTTCTCTAACATTATTTCCAAATGCTCATATATTTGCAGATATATTTTGAATTCCAGCATTAACTCCCTTCTTGTCATCTTTTGGGGAAGCAATGTTCTTCTCTCTCCCTCTTTCTCTCTGATGGAGATCAATTAATCAAAAAGCACACTAGGCACGACAACCTTCTGAATCGTTTTGGAAGGATATTACAGAAATGATCAAAGCCATATTAATAAGCTCATTACCATTTGTTCCCTTAAGGCATTATGATCTTAGAGGGAAAATGTAAGAAGGGGGAGAGAAAGAATTTAAAATTGATTAGCTGCCACAACATTACAGAGGACTAAATATTGGAGTTAGATCAGCAGCATTTTTTTTTTTGCCTATTTAATTAAAATGGGGACCGATTCCCTGTATTGTACATAATATCTTATATAATTAAACTGATGCAACCTTAAGTTGAGAAATTCTTTAGTAAAGGCATCAATGGTTTTTTTAAAAAAACCTTTACATTTAAAAACATATACTTCCTATTTTACAATAAGGTTAATTTTGATTGCTATATGCAAGTAAAGTAAACAGAATTAAAGAAAAAATATAATAAACTAGCGGTCCCCTGCCACGCGTTGCTGTGGCCAAGTCTCATTATCTGGAAAATAAAGTAATGAGAAAGTGTTGATTTCTAATATACTGTATGTAATGCTTGTTGGTTAAAAGTATTTCTTGTTTCTTTGTCAGTGTCGATGTAGAGATTGTCTGGTTTGCCTACTTTGGAACATGCAACATATAATTGTCCTTCTTTAGGGGTCCCTTTCAAATCTATACTATATCTGTCACATATGTGTGTGTGTGTGTGTGGATCATATATATCTATCTGTATTTATGGCTGGATGGTTCTTTGTCAGGAGGGCTTTGATTATGTTTTCTTGCCCTGGTGAAGGGAATTGGACTCGAAGGCCTTAAGTATTTTCTGTTGGTCATGGGGTTCTGCGTGGGAAGTTTGCCCCAGTTCCGTCGTTGGTAGGGTTCAGAACGTTCCTTGATTGTAGGTCAACTATAAATCCCAGTAACTACAACTCCCAAATGTCAAGGTCTATTTTTCCCAAACTCTATCTGTGTTCATATTTGGGCATATGGAATATTTGTGCCAAGTTTGGTCCAGCTCCATCGTTGTTTGAGTCCACAGTCCTATCTGGATGGAGGTGAAGTACAACTCCCAAACTCAAGGCCAATGCCCACCAAACCCTTCCAGTATTTTCTGTTGGTCATGGGAGTTCTGTGTGCCAAGTTTAGTTCAATTCCATCGTTGATGGAGTTCAGAATGCTCGTTGACTGTAGGCGAACTACAACTCCCAAATGACAAAATCATAATTTTTGGAGTGATGGTCACTCCTTGTGTTGTGAGACGTTTTGTTGCCAAATTTGGTGTGATTTTGTTCATTGGTTCTTTTGTTTTTAAGGTACTCATTATGCACAGAGCATTTTTATATATATAGAAGAAGCAATATACATAGGACTCTCAGTTAACCAGAACTCAAGCAACCCACAAAAAAAATCAAAGAAATAATACTTCAAATAAAAAACTGATGTTATAACACAGCAACAACAATATTTATTATGGTCCATAGAACCATCAGTGAATGAATACTCATTGTCCAAGATTAAAATATACATGGTTTCAAGTAATACCCCTATCCAAGGTTAATTTATTTCTCAACCTTGTTGCAACGGCGAGGAATTTTGCCACTATGAGAGTCACTTGTCCTCTAAAAAATATCTGACAATCCCCTGTGGTTGATGGCTGATCATGCGGGACAAAATTGGATATAAAAGTTGGCTACGTTGCACTGTGTTATAGCAATACTTCAATAAAATGTGTTCTATTGTCTCTACTTCATTTCCTTCACGGGGGCATAGTCTTTGGGAGTAAGGAATTCCAGCCAATCTGCCGCTTAGCAGCTCTGAGGGAAATACATTGAATCTCGCCTTTGTAAAGAATCTGTAATATTTGATCACTGTAAGGCTCTTTAGATATTCTTAAAAGGCTCTCTGTGGTTTTATAACACAGTAAAACAATAAAACTGTGTTACATTAAGTTAAGTCTTTGTCTCTTTTTATTTGCTTTTAATTACTACATTTCAATATTAATGCTAAGTAAATATATAGTTTATGATATGATGTAGTATGGATTATAGTTAGATTTATTTTTAATAGTAACTCTCAAGCAACCCTATACTATTACGGCCCAGATTACTTATCCGAATGTCTCTACGTTCCACCTCGTATTTTAAGATCGTCTGGGGAGACCCTGCTCTCAGCCCCACCAGCTTCACAAACATGTTTGGCAGGGACAAGAGACAGGGCCTTCTCGGTGGTGACCCGTCTGAGGAACTCACTCCCCAGAGAGATTAAATCAGCATCATCCCTCCTTTCATTTAGGAAAAAATTGAAATCATGGTTTTGGGACCTGGCCTTTAGACAGCAGGCATGAAAGCACCTTGGATGTGAAATTGGACTGGAGGCGACTATTGGCTTGATAATAATGTTTTTAGATTGTTTTTAATTTACTGTTTTTACTGTTTAGACTCTGTTATATTTATTATATCTGTTTTTTACGTGTCGGCATCAAATTGCTAGGAGCCCCCGGTGACGCAGTGGGTTAAACCCCTGTGCTGGCAGGACTGAAGACCGATAGGTCGCAGGTTCGAATCCGGGGAGAGGTGGATGAGCTCCCTCTCTCAGCTCCAGCTCCTTATGGGGGGACATGAGAGAAGCCTCCCACAAGGATGATAAAAACATTAAATCATCCAGGCGTCCCCTGGGCAAAGTCCTTGCAGACGGCCAATTCTCTCACACCAGAAGCGACTTGCAGTTTCTCAAGTTGCTCCTGACACGACCAAAAAAAAAAATCAAATTGCTGCCAGTGTAAGCCACTCTGAGTCCCCCCTTGGGGATTTAGAAGGGTGGGGTAGAAATGTTAGAAATAAATAAATAAACTATTTTTATCCGGCATCTACCAATCTAATGGGTGCTACTTTGTTGTTGTTGTTGTTCATTCGTTCAGTCGTCTCCGACTCTTCGTGACCTCATGGACCAGCCCACGCCAGAGCTCCCTGTCGGCCGTCACCACCCTCCATCTCCTTCAAGGTCAGTCCAGTCACTTCAAGGATGCCATCCATCCATCTTGCCCTTGGTCGGCCCCTCTTCCTTTTGCCTTCCACTTTCCCCAGCATAATTGTCTTCTCTACGTTTTCCTGTCTCCTCATGATGTGGCCAAAGTACTTCAACTTTGTTTTTAGTATCCTTCCCTCCAGTGAGCAGTCGGGCTTTATTTCCTGGAGGATGCGAGGCTAAAAAAACAAAACAAAAAAAAACCAATAGGATTTAGACAACTTTGTCTCTAGTCTCCTTCCCTCCAATGAGCAGCCGGGCTTTATTTCCTGGAGGATGGACTGGATCTTCTCGCAGTCCAAGGCACTCTCAGAACTTTCCTCCAACACCACAGCTCAAAAGCATCGATCTTCCTTCGCTCAGCCTTCCCTAAGGTCCAGCTCTCACATCCGTAGGTTACTACAGGGAATACCATGGCTTTGACTAGGCGGATCTTTGTTGCCAGTGTGATGTCTCCACTCTTTACTATTTTATCGAGACTGGACATTGCTCTCCTCCCAAGAAGTAAGCGTCTTCTGATTTCCTGGCCACAGTCTGCCTCTGCAGTAATCTTTGCACCTAGAAATACAAAGTCTGTCACGGCCTCCACATTTTCTCCCTCTATTTTCCAGTTGTCAATCATTCTTGTTGCCATAATCTTGGTTTTTTTGGGTGCTACTTAAATGTATTTATTTATCTCTTATTTTAGTCTTGTTATACTTATTTTAGTATCTCTTGTTTTTATTCACAGAACACAGCCAAAATCATAAAACTAAAAAATAAAAAAACATAAAATTGAAAATAAATTAAACAGCCATAGAATAAAACCAGAGGAAAACCAATAACAGAGGACAACAGCAACTCAAGGATGTAACAAGTCTTCAATTAGTGCTGAAAATACCATACTTTTAATGCCAGACAAACATATGAAACTGTGCCACCACTGAAAACTTAGTACATATACCTCCAGCGTTTCACAGATGAAAACTGGAATATGTGTGGCCTCCAAGCAATACCAGAATATGATTAAAGTGGCAAAAATGATTAATGAAATAAACACGCAAGCAGCAGTTTGCCTGAGCCTGCTGAGAAGAGCAAGATTTTTCTCCCTCTCCCCTTCCCCCTGCTGAGCTAATTGAGTGCAAATTGCTTTTGTATTTGAACTCAGTTCTTAGCAATTAATGTTAAGGTGAGGACAAAGGGGGGATGTGGCAGAGGGGAGAGAAACTGGGATATTTAGGAAGTCATTGAAAATGTGGGATAACAAAGGATTAATTGGGAGTGTCACTGCTAAATTGGAACAATTGGCAGGTATGTTAGTGGCTGCCTGCTTTTCTTATTTGGTGAAGATAACTGAATTAGCAACCCATGTCCTTATCACGAAGGATCAACCTTCATTCAGCTGCCCTCCACATCCCCAGAAAGCCGTTCCTCGCCCCCTTACATGTTGTATGAGGGTCTCCACAATTTTGTAGCGGTCAGGCATATGGGTCACCATGTCGGTCATGTTGTCCTCCGATGTTCTGACGAGGGTGGGACCAAACACCAAGGCAAGGTTACGGGGCTCCATCTGCAAAGCAAACCTTTGTGAATTATTGTTTTTCTAAATAATCACAACATTTGGCAGCAAGCTTGAATGAAAAATGACAAATCTGTCTGAGCCAACAGCTCAGTTTTAGGCCTAGATAAATCCTAATTAAGGGGTTATGCAATTAGTACTGCATCCAACAGAGTGGGGACCAGAGAGCTAGCTCTGCTGCTATTGATATCTGGGGGGCATCTCAAGCTCCCATTGATTCTGAAGACTAGGAAGTTCTCAAACATGCAGAGAGCCAGAGCTGGATTATCAATCATTCAGATGGTGCAATTAATCCAAGCCTCTCAAGGGTTGGGGAAGGTGTATATTGCTTAATTTCCATCTCTTAATTTCCAATGGGCCCTTGGTATCCACTGCGGTTTGGTTCCAGGACTCCTCGTTAATATCAAAATGTATTGATGCTCGAGTCCCATTACATACAATGCTGCAGTAAAATGGTGTCCCCTTATACAAAAAGGTAAACTCAAAGTTTGCTTTTTTGCATTAAAAAATATTTTCAAGGCCAGGATTAGCATTTTATTGAACACACTCTGACTTAGCTAATGAGGACTTATTTCTGCAGCAAATTGCATTATAAGTTTAAATGTTTTAATTGCTTATTACGATTAGAGTTACTAGAGAAATGTATCCCAATTGTCTTATTTATATATTTAAATTTCTAATTGGTTATTTTTGAGTTGTTTTAAAAGCATACCTTGATGTTGTTCCTTAGCTACAATTTGCACTATCCCATTCCCTTGTCTTGTTTACAGTTTGGCAATGTCTTACGGCAGTTGTCACCATCGGTTATTGGGCGTTGTTCTGAGTTTTAAATTGATGTTTTTATATGCCATTGGTTTTACTTTTTTGTATTGTACTGTTTATTTTGTGCATTGTTTTTAGGCACTTTGTGTCATATGTAAGCTGCCCCAGTCCCTTCTGGGAGATGAAGGCGGGTACAATAACAACAACAACAACAACAACAACAACAACAACAACAACAACAACAACAATCATCATCACCATCATCTTCATTATCATTATTGTTGTTGCTGTTTATTTGACTCCCCATGATGTTATGTGTTTGTTATGTTTTTCTTGGCGTTGAATGCTTGCCAACTTTTGTTGTAAACCGCCCGGAGTCTCTTTTGGGAGATAGAACGGGAGAGAAATAAAGTTTTTCTTTATTGTTATTTATATATGGTTTCATTTAAGGCAAGCTGAATAGAAATCTGGGAAAGGGAAGGCATTCTTGAAGCTCATTCACACCACATATTTCTAGCACTATGCTACTTTAATTGCTTAGTTCCGTCCTATGGAATCCTGGGATTTGTAGCTTAGTGAGCACTGGATTACTCTGGATGAGAAATCTAAATGCCTTTCCCTAAACTGCCAATTTTGTATTGCCATAGGATAGAATCAGATCACTTAACATGACATTATAGTGCTATAATTCTGTAGTGCAGTGTCCTCAACCTCTGGGTCTCCAGATGTTTTGGCCTTCAACTCCCAGAAATCCTAACAGCTGGTAAACTGGCTGGGATTTCTGGGAGTTGTAGGCCAAAACACCTGGGGACCCACAGGGTGAGAACCACTGCTGTAGTGTGAATGGCTCCAGGGCAGATAGGGTTTGGTTTACAATAGCTGTGGTACTTCTGTTACCCTTCTACCATGTTGCAGCAGTAGCTTTTCCTCAATACAGTTGGATTTATTTGAGGGCCCGCTGTTAGCCACAGCTTCTGCCAACCTAGCAGCTCAAAAACATGCAAATGTGAGTAGATCAATAGGTACCACATCGGCAGGAAGGTAACGGCACTCCATGCAGTTATGCCGGCAACATGAGCTTGGAGGCGTCTATAGACAACACCAGCTCTTCGGTTTAGAAATGGAGTTGAGCACCACCCCACAGAGTCAGACATGACTAGACTTAATGTCAGGGGAAACTTTTACCTTCACCTGGTACTTGCTTTCAATGATCCCAATCTACTCCTGTTTAAAATTCTTCCACTCTTATTTCTGAGTAAATCTGTTTAGAGCTGTGTTTTAACAAAGGGTGCTTTAGATAAGAGTTATCTCTTCTTCAGCACTAAGGATAGTTTTTGGCTAGAGGATCAAAATACTGTTGCCTATTCTACATTTAATCTCTTAAAAGTCAGAATTGCATTTACATCAGATCAGGGGTTTGGATTTTACCATTAAACTGAATTTTAAAACCACGCTGTCAACCAATTATCTAAAAACAAACAGAAATCAAAGTATTTAAAATTGGAGCTGAGAGACTGTTCATTTTTGCTATGTGACCTGCAAAATAATAGAATTAATTTTTATATCAGCCTTTTTCAAGCTGTATTCATCAATACTATTTTAAAAATCTAACTGTACGTTTAACAAAATATGCTCCTCTCTCTCAAGTGGCACATTACTTCTAGAGTTGGCTTTTATGTGTGCTTCACTGAAAACCAGAAGCAGATGAAGGAAAATGTATATTTCAAAAAGAAATCGCTGGCAACAATACATGCATAAGAACACTTTCTTCTTCTTGACCATATGTTGTGGGTTGGCAAAATGTATTCTTTATTATCAGGACTCAACAGTGAGTAAGAAACAGCTTCATAGTAAATGTACAATTTCTTGAAAATGAGATGGTCATGTCTCAAGGAACTAGAGAACAGACAGAAAAAGAGAAGCCTGTCTACTTGGCTTTATCTCTAATGATATTGTGGCTCTGCCCTCTGCTTCTTCATGCTTAATATGGGCAAGGTCCTTTCTGGATTGTTTCACTGAAACACCCATCATGTCCCAGCTAGCCCTGGTGGGGAATATTGGAGTTTGTAGTCCAACAACATCTGAGTTTTTAGCATTTTATCTTGCAAACGCGGCCCACTCATTGTCATTGTGATTATGAACGGTTTTGTATTGTTATATTGCTTACTATACTCATATGTTTTATGTATTTTACTGTGTTTGTTGTTTGTGCTTTTGTTTTTATTTTTATTTGATTTTATTGTAATATGCTGATGGGCTTGGCCTCATGTAAACTACCCCGAGTCCCCGCTGGGGAGATGCTGGCGGGGTATAAATAAAGATGATGATGATTATTATTATGACGACGACAACGGCGATGATGATGATGATTATTATTAAGGCCTCGTCAGTTCATCCAGCTATGGCAGTGGTTCTCAACTTGTGGGTCCCCAGGTGTTTTGGCCTACAACTGCCAGAACTACAGATGATCAGTTGACTTTAGATACAGGTTCCCATAGAGCAGTGGTTCTCAACTTGTGGGTCCCCAGGTGTTTTGGCCTACAACTGCCAGAACTACAGATGATCAGTTGACTTTAGATACAGGTTCCCATAGAGCAGTGGTTCTCAACCTGTGGGTCCCCAGGTGTTTTGGCCTACAACTGCCAGAACTACAGATGATCAGTTGACTTTAGATACAGGTTCCCATAGAGCAGTGGTTCTCAACCTGTGGGTCCCCAGGTGTTTTGGCCTACAACTGCCAGAACTACAGATGATCAGTTGACTTTAGATACAGGTTCCCATAGAGCAGTGGTTCTCAACTTGTGGGTCCCCAGGTGTTTTGGCCTACAACTGCCAGAACTACAGATGATCAGTTGACTTTAGATACAGGTTCCCATAGAGCAGTGGTTCTCAACCTGTGGGTCCCCAGGTGTTTTGGCCTACAACTGCCAGAACTACAGATGATCAGTTGACTTTAGATACAGGTTCCCATAGAGCAGTGGTTCTCAACCTGTGGGTCCCCAGGTGTTTTGGCCTACAACTGCCAGAACTACAGATGATCAGTTGACTTTAGATACAGGTTCCCATAGAGCAGTGGTTCTCAACCTGTGGGTCCCCAGGTGTTTTGGCCTACAACTGCCAGAACTACAGATGATCAGTTGACTTTAGATACAGGTTCCCATAGAGCAGTGGTTCTCAACCTGTGGGTCCCCAGGTGTTTTGGCCTACAACTGCCAGAACTACAGATAATCAGTTGATTCTAGATATAGGTTCCCATAGAGCAGTGGTTCTCAACCTGTGGGTCCTCAGATGTTTTGGCCTACAACTCCCACTTTACCAACAGTTAGAATTTCTGGGAGTTGAAAGGCCAAAATATCTGAGGATCCATAGGTCCTCAAGCCTTAGATACTTTTTAAAAACATGCCTTTCTTGATACTGTATCTTGAGTGAATTATTTTGATAGTATAGTTTTCCTAAATTGAAACTTGTAATAGTCAGTGAACAGATGAAATATGATAATTAAGCTGCTTTCCAAACTGCTACTCCTATCTGTCACTGTCCAGACCAGACTTGTCCAAGCCACAGTCCAGGACTGATATGACTGTGGCCAAACATAAAATCCTAAACTGACTTAAAACATTATGAGATTTTATTTGTTTTGTTTTGTTTTGCAATTCAATTGTCCAAACTTTGTAAGTGACAACTTTTAGAATAAACATATGTTTTAAAGTTTTATTACTTCGGTAAGTACATTTTTAATATCAGTGATTGCAAAGTTGTGACCTGCTTGACAAGTTTAAAAGACCCTCTGGATGATGTGGCAAATAATTAGTAGATATGTGTGCAGAATTCGTTCATACTGTTTCTACCGTTTGTTTTGTGTCTCCCCTTTCTTTGGAAACATGAAGCTCCCTCCCCACACAAAAATCTGTTCAATACAAAAGTCTGCTTTTGTGTCCATCCGAACTTGCTTCCTTGCCTTGGAAAGAGGGTGCATGTGTGGCAGGGCAGGAAGGCTCGGAGCTTATCTGTAGGTGTGGTGGGGTGTGTGTGGCGGGACATACAGGCACCTGCAGCTAGCTGCGTAATTCTTATTCTAGAGTAAGAGGCACTTGGCTGCAGGCACTGGCAGGCGCGCACACTTTCCAGGCCTACCTGCACACCTCGCAACACACATGCTCTCTTTCTAAGGAGAGTGCATGTGTGTGTGGCTTGGTGTGCAGGCAAGCCCAGAAAGCACACACCCCTGCCAGTGCTTACAGCTGAGCACTAGGGCTGGGCAACCACGGAAAAATTTGTTTCTAAACTCGATTCGTTTTAGGGGGTTTTTGCGTTTCGATTTTTAAAAGAATTCCGAAATTTTTCTTTAAAAAAGTTCGATATTTACGAAATTTCGGAAATTACGAAACAATTACGAAACAATTACGAATCGATTCGTTAATGGCGGACGCAACCGCGCAATACGCTAAAAAAACCTCCAAATGGGACAGGGGGAACTTCTGAAGCTTCCCTCTCCCTCTGTTGTTGACTGTTGGTGTGATATTTATATTTTTTTTTCACTGATTAAACAAACAACAACTATAAAACTTGCCCCAGACATGCGGAAATAATAACGAAACGATTTCAAAACGAATACAAAACGAATTCGAAACAATTACGAAACGAATTTAAAAATTCGTTTCGTTTTTTAGTTGCTCCTGAATGGTTCGTTATCGCTTCGTTATAAAAAATAACGAATTTTTAACGAATTACGAAATTACGAAACGAAACCGCCCAGCCCTACTGAGCACCTCTTACCCTAGAGTGGAAGCAGTAGGTGCCAGGTAAGAACACACACCGGGAGAGGGAGCCAATGGGTGGGAAACCCCCCGCCTCCCATAATGGTCTGTTTTTCGGGGCCCTGAACCAAAAGAACCAAAAACAACCCTCCCCATTTTGGGAGGCTCACAAAAAACGGATCGGGGCCCCCAACAAAAGCCAGGACATGAATGGGTCAAGGTTTATCCTGAATGTATATGTCTAATAATTTTACTTTTTATATATTATTTTTTACAATAACATTTTTTATATATTTTTAATAATTTATAATTTAATTTTGTATATTATTTTTGTTAATACTTATTTTTACTTATAATTACATTTTGTAAATATTTTATAAATTTTAATTTTATTTTATATTATATATATATTATATAATTTTATATTATTTATTATTGATATTTATTATTATTATTTATAAATTATTATTATTTATTGCTATATTATATGTCTAATAATTAGAATTACTATCAAGGACATTTTCTTATCAGTGGAGGGAGACATAATTATGAAATTATGCATGAACCATTATTATTATTATTATTATTATTATTATTATTATTTTACTGACACAAAAACACAGTATGTCACAGCAAACAAGATCTATATGCTGGATTTCATATCACAAAATCACAAGTCGAACACTTCCCAAGCATCTAGGACTGTGTGATGTATTTTTGAATGATGTGTGCAGATCCAAGTAAGGAGTTGACAGATTGTGATTTTGTCAATGTTTATTGTTTCCAAATGCCAGCTGAGATCTTTTGGCACGGCACCCAGTGTGCCAATGTCCCCTGGGACCACCTGTACTGGTTTAGAGACTATTATTATTATTATTATTATTATTATTATTATTATTATTATTATGCTCACCAGCTGTCATCAGTGTTTCTGCATTTTATGTGTGGCCCAAGATAATAATTCTTCTTCCAATGTGACCCAGGGAACGCAAAAGATTGGACATCTCTGGTCTAGATTATAACCACTATAATCTCCTAATAAAATTCATAGAGGTTGTACTTAAATCAAACTGAAGGTACCAAGATTGACAGCTCTGCTTTAAGGAATAAAGCAGATGGGATACAACCTCAGGAATATTTGAAGATAAGACTTCCATATTTAAACTCAATTATTGACTCTCTCTTTTATGTAGTGAAATGTTCTATATACCCTGAGTGGGAAGTGTCAGCAAAAGTTACCTTATTCTTCTCAGAATGATCTGCGATTGTTTTTAGATGCCCCACAAGGAATTTCAGAGTTTCAAAATAATGGACCGGTAAGTCCCGAATCTGAAGTAGAAGCAGAAAAAAACAGCAAAAACTGATTAAATTTTCACCCTTTTATGCAAAGTAAGATTATTCATTCAGTCCTGCTCTGTTCCCTTTATTCTAGTTTTTCTTTAAAACTCTCCATAATTTATTAGCATATAAATTATTTCACAAGAGTATATTAAAAGTATGCTTCTGAATTCCACTCCTCTTCCTTCCTCAAAAGTTTGCAAATTCCTATGTTGACTTTCATTTGTTCCCCCAAAGATATTGTCTTATTTGTTTTAACAACATGGCAACATCTATGCACAATTGCTCTCACAAGAACCTTGAGCAGCAGATCAATAGAGCTCTGGGTTCTCATGAAATTATACTTTTTCTCCATCTTGTTGTAATATTTCCTGAACAATATTTCCTGAACAATATAATTTAATGTGTTGTCGAAGGCTTTCATAGCCGAACTCACTGGGTTGCGGTGAGTTTTCCAGGCTGTATGGCCATGATCCAGAAGAATTCTCTCCTGATGTTTCAACCACATCTATGGCAGGCATCCTCAGAGATTGTGAGGTCTGTTCGAAACTAGGAAAATGGGGTTTATATATCTGTGTAATGGCCAATTGCAACACTCACACTTGCCTCAAACAGGCAAGAGTTCTTTCTTCCACCCTGGACATTCCACAGATATATAAACCCCACTTGCCTAGTTTCCAACAGACTTCACAATCTCTGAGGATGCCTGGGCGAAATGTCAGGAGAGAATGCTTCTGGAACATGGCCATACAGCCCGGAAAACTCACAGCAAACTGAAATAATTTAACATCTCCATCACCACTGATAGAAAGAAGCAGGTCTTCTCACACCTGGAATTCTTTACAATTTATAATGCACAGATAATGCTAACAATATTTATGCATATACGTGTGAAAAAGCAGTACATGTGAAAAAGATTTTGGAGTCCTCATGGACAAGTTAAACATGAGCCAATAATGTGATGCGGCGGCAAAAAAAAAAAAAAAGCCAGTGGGATTTTGGCCTGCATCAGTAGGAGTATAGTGTCTAAATCCAGGGATCATGCTACCAATCTATTCTGCCTTGGTTAGACCACACCTGGAATACTGTGTCCAATTCTTGGCACCACAAATGTAGAGAGATATTGACAAGCTGGAATGTGTCCAGAGGAGGGAGACTAAAATGATCAAGAGCCTGGAGAACAAGCCCTATGAGGAGCGGCTTAAAGAGGTGGGCATGTTTAGCCTGAAGAAGAGAAGGCTGAGAAGAGACATAATAGCTATGTATAAATATGTGAGAGGAAGTCATAGGGAGGAGGGAGCAAGCTTGTTTTCTGCTGCCCTGGAGACTAGAATGTGGAACAATGGCTTCAAACTACAAGAAAGGAGATTCCATCTGAACATTAGGAAGTATTTCCTGACTGTGAGAGCTGTTCAGCAGTGGAACTCTCTGCCCCGGAGTGTGGTGTAGCGTCCTTCTTTGGAAGCTTTTAAACAAAGGTTGGATGGCCATCTGTCGGGGGGGCTTTGAATGATATTTTCCTGCTTCATGGCAGGGCGTTGGACTGGATGGCCCATGAGGTCTCTTCCAACTCTATGATTCTATGATTTTGGAAGCTAAGCAGCTTAGGCCCTGATTATTACTTGGATGGGAGATCAAGAGACAATTTAAAAAAAAATCTTGACTGAAAGCCACTGTCTGTGTTGATAGTATTAAACTTGACAGACCAATGGTATGTTAATTATAAACCCTCTGCCTATGCTTTAACCTAAAACATAATCTGGAGAAGACCAATGTAAATCCTTACATATTTTGTAGAGAGATTAAAGGCTGCCTGTATAGCTTTTTTCGGACGCCTGCAGCAGCTTTTATTAATAAAATAACATAGACACATGTTTTTCCTTAACACTTCACTCTTATACCTATATAAAATATATAAAAATAGTGTGGAGAGAAGATGGGATCAAGGCAGTCTTCATCCACTTGGCGGGTCTCACATTCCAAATGTCTGAGATAAAATGAAAGGCAGAACACTCTTCTCTGATCTGCTGGGTAAACTCTGATGTTACACTGGATTTGTCTCTCCATATTTTTTCCTTTAGTACAACTAAGGTTCCTTTTACGGCTGGCACCCATTTGAACAACACCCAGGTCTTGATATGAGAAATGTACGGCACCTCTTGGTATTCCATGCAATGCTATATTCTGGTATTTGTAGCTTACAGATGTTTAAAAACTATAGCTCCATATTTTATTTATCGTGTCAGAAGCGAGTTGAGGGTACAGTTATAATGTATTTAAAAACACAAACAAAGTTTAAAAACTTGGCATTGTACTAAATGTCCTTTGACCAGAAGCTGGCCACTTGGGAGTGGCTCTGGTGTCGCTGTAAGAGGACCTCCATTGTGGATGTGGCAGGGCTCAGACTGCATTGCAGTAAGTGATCTGTAGTTTGCTCTTCTCCACATTCACATGTCATGGGCTCCACTTTGAGACTGCATTTCTGAGCATTGGCTCTGCACCTCGTGGTGACAGAGCGCAATCTGTTGAGCACCTTCCAATTCGCCCAGTTTTCTGTGTGCCCAGGGGGGAGTCTCTCATCCGATATCAGCCATGGATTGAGGTTCTGGGTTTTCACCTGCCACTTTTGGACTCTTGCTTGCTGAGGTATTCCTAGGAATATCTCTGTAGATCTTAGAAAGCTATTTCTTGATTTAAGACCTTGGCCTGCTGGCTGATATCCGAACAGAGGATGGGACAGATATGTCAATGCCTTGGTTTTTTCATTATTGGCTTCTACTTCATGACGGATGTCAGGTGGTACAATACCAGCTAAACAGTATAATTCCTGTGATAATATGGCATGTCTCATTAAGAGCCACATACATGTGTATTCAGCAGCAGAATAGCAAAGCACAAAGGCAGATGTCTTCACTGTGTCTGGTTGTGATCCCCAGGTTGTACCATTCAACTTTTGTATATTATTTCTAGCTCCCACTTTTTGCTCCATATTCAAGTAGTGCTTCTTGTAAGTCAGAGCACGGTCCAGAGTGACTCCCAGGTATTTGGGTGTGCTGCAATGCTCCAGTGCAATTCCTTCCCAGGTAATCCTCAGAGCTCAAGATGCTTGTCTGTTCTTAAGGTGAAAAGCATGGTGTTTAAGATGGTTTAGGAATTAGCTGGTTTCCCCTGTAATAGGCAGTAAGAGCACGTAAAGCTTCAAAGAGCTTCTGTTCATCCATCTCAAAGCTCCCTGCTTAAGTGGTGATGGCACGATCGTCAGCATAGATGAAGCTCTCTGTCCCTTTCAAAGCTCCCATGATTCCATAGCATTAATAATGAACTGCATTAATTCTACAGTGTAGATGCACAATTAGCCTTGAAAGCTTGTACAACCAACTTCTTTATTTCAATGAATCCCAAAAGTGCTACAAGGTCCTATGTTGAAAGCAATTAATCAAGGGATCTTGTTTTTAAACAACTGAACAGCAGAATAATTATGTGAAGTTTGTTTTATAGCAACATAAAATAAGGCAAGCATGTCTCAGAGGAAGACAGTTTCACTGCTTACAATTGTGTTTTATTGTTTACAAACCAATTTAAGGTAATAAAGTTGGTTTGAAAAAAATGTCACATTTTTTTTTATTTTCTGCAATTGTGTATATTGGTATTTTTCAATAGATGGGACTGTTTTACCATGCCATTTCTCTAATGCTAATAACTGTGTTTGTTGGGTTAGACTCATTTCATAAGTTATTGTGAAATTTATGTCACTTTATAAGTTATTAAATTTTACTATATTGCTAAGTGTTGATGTATATCCTGTCTCATATGTTAAAGAAATGGCAATTTTATAATTGATTTGGCACTACATAGATGGTCTGGTATTTTTAAGCAGTTGCATCTCATCCTGGTTTGAAATATGCTCGGTATTAAGTGCAGTGTTAAGTTTACTGCATATCTTAATTACTGTGCTGGTCCCTCCCTTTTCTTTCTCTCCTCCTCACTTCCTCTTTCTCTTTCCCTATTTTTTTACCCCAATCCAAGCCCCTATTCTTTCTTACTTACTTACGGCTATAGATATGGGAGTTGCACAATATGCACCTAAGGTGAAGTCTGAATTTTAACCTGCAGTTATGTATAATTATAGATAGATGTTTGAAAGGGTAAGTATTTAAAGTTGCATAACTGGGGGGGAATGGTAGCCAGCTCAGCTCACTTTGAGCTGGGTTGCTATGGAAAAAGGGGCGGAGCCAACTGCCACTTGGCAGGGCAGCCATTTTAAGACGGTCAGTCTGCAGTCTGTGAACTGCAGGAGTGGCTGGTTCTGTAGTAGTGAGAACCAGGAAGGTAATCTGTAGTTTAAAAACCACAGGGAAAGGCTGATTCCACTGTAGTGAGAATCAGGAAGGTTTTGGCTTTAGCCTAGGCGGTTTAGGTAAGTCGAGTTGACTTATTTATATTAGTATTTAGTATATGAGTAGAAAGGGTGAGAGATACCCAGTGAGAATCTTTATTGCAACAGAAATATCACAAAGTGGTGGCTCCTTTACAAAACCATTACAAATTGGTGACTTCTTTGCAAATTGGTGGCATCTTCTTTACAGCACCATGTGAATATATTCTTCCCAAAAGTGTTGAACAGTGTTTTGTGTTGGGCTGCTGTGAGTTTTCCAGGCCGTATGGCCATGTTCCAGAAGCATTCTCTCCTGACACTTCACCCACATCTATAGCAAGCATCCTCAGAGGTTGTGAGGCCTGCTGGAAAATAGGCAAGTGGAGTTAATTTATCTGGGGAATGTTCAGGGTGGGAGAAAGAACTCTTGTCTGTTTGAGGCAGTTGTGAATGTTGCAATTGGCTACCTTGATTTAGCATGTAATGCCCTTGCAGCTTCAAAGCCTAGCTGGTTGCTGCCTAGGGGAATCCTTTGTTGGGAGATGTTAACTGGATCTGATTGATTCTTCTCTGGAATTCCTCTGGTTTTTTTTTTATTGTCGTTCTTTATTTGCTGTCCTGATTTTAGAGGTTTTTTTTAACACTGGTAGCCAGATTTTGTTTATTTTCATGGTTTCTTCCTTTCTGCTGAAATTGTCCACATGCTTGTGGATTTCAATGGCTTCTCTGTGTAGTCTGGCATGGTAACTGTCTGAATGGTCCAGCATTTCTGTGCTCTCAAATAATACGCTCTGTTCAGGTTGATTCATCAAGAGTTCTGCTATGGCTGACTTCTCAGGTTGAATTAGACTGCTGTGCTTTGTGTTCATTTGAAATAAATCCATTTTCTATGCCCACATTTCAAATGTGCACATGTTTTCAAATGTCCCCACCAGATTCCATCAATATGAGGATTCTGCAGCACCCATCACATTGACAGCCTGGCAAATGGAAATATTAAACAGCTTATGGAACCTTTAACTGAAACTGGATTTGTCACACATTCCCATCCTACCTCTGAAGGCTTGTCACATAAGGCAAAGGAAGAGACATGTGCATTTCTCTCTTATGTCATAAAGGAAATAAGCATTAACCAAGGGAGACATTTCCCCTTCCTAAAGTACATACCAGTTTGCGCAAAGTCTTCATCCTTTCGCTGGCATCTTCAATCCGGTTGGCTTCAATAAAGTCATTGTATTTATCTTTTAATAAAGAAAAAAGGACATCCATGACTGATAGTCCACATGACCACAGAAAAGTAAGTTGTTTTCAGGATGTTTGACAATGTTATTATGGGAAGCCAGTATACCCAAAAATCCAAAATTATTCACATGAAAAGTTCAATGTACACAAATTTTGTCTCATGCATAAAATTATTAAAAATGTATAAAATCACCTTCAGACCATGTTTATAAGCTATATATAAAATATAAATAAATGTTGCATTTAGACTTGGATCCCACCTCCAAAATAGCTCAATTATTATTATTATTATTATTATTATTATTATTATTATTATTATTATTTAAAGTATTTATATTCCGCCCTTCTCACCCCACAGAGGATTCAGGGTGGATTACAAAGCACATATACATGGCAAACGTTCAATGCCATAGACACACAACATATAGACAAACATAGAGGCAATTTAATATTCTCGCTTCATGAGGGTATGCTCGAATTCCAGCCACCGGGGGAGCTGTCGCTTCACTGTCCACTTGTGACACTTGTGACACCGAGTCCTTGATGGAGTACTTTCTCATTCTTTTGCCCGCTGCTGGAGATTTTTATAGTGTTGTAAATTAGTTAAATTAACCTCCCCGCGTAAGCGGTACCTAAATTTCCTACTTGACAGATGCAACTGTCTTTCGGACTGCAAAGGTCGACAGCAAGCTAGACAAATGGTTGGGAGCTTACTCCGACCCGGGCTGGCTTCGAACTCATGACCTTTCAGTCAGTGGTGATTTAATGCAGCTGACTCCTAGCCAACTGCGCCACAGCCCAGTCTATATCTATATGCAAATAGAAGTATTCCAAAAAAAATAATTCAAAATCAAAAATATAGTCCCAAGCATTTCAGATAAGAGAAAGTCAGCCTCTATTTAGATCAGTTTCATTTGCCTTTTCGGTGGTGGCCCCCCGACTCTGGAACTCACTTCCTAAGGACATCAGACAGGCCCCAACTCTGGCAGTCTTTAGGAGGAGCTTGAAGACGTGGTTGTTCCAGTGTGCCTTCCCAGAATAATGATCCCATAGCACTTTGTCCTCCAAAGCACTTTACATTTTTAGGTCTGCTTGTATGTTTTCCACAAACGCCCCATCACTTTTTCGCCCATGTTCCAGCATTACTTTCCATTTTAATTTTACATTTGGCCTTCCCATAGTTTTTAATTGTGTGGTCTTATTGTTAATGTTGCATTATTGTATTGTCCATGTTTTATTTTTAATTGCTTGTATTGTTGTTATTATTGTTTGTATTGTTGTATTTGGGCTCGGCCTCATGTACGCCGCACCGAGTTCCTTGGGGAGATGGTAGCGGGGTATAAATAAAGTGTTGTCATTATTATTATTATTATTATTATTATTATTATTATTATTATTATTTTCTATCTGTCTAATGCTGACAGAAGAGAGGTATGGACTGATATCAACCCAGAGAACTGGAAGAACAATACTTGACATGTCTCATCTATTTTGTTTTTTTTCTATTTAGCTGTTGGGTAGAGATCTTTTAGAGAGAACAAAAAGGTATCAAGACATAATTACTCACCATCTGTAAACAAGGGTTCTGGAAGCTTCCGGAAAAAGGACTTCAAGAGACTACTGATGACGTTAAGGTCTTGCCACCTCTGTGCATTGAAGGGGAATAGAAAGAAATAATTCCAACCTGTATTCCAGATTTCTCCCTGAGATTTATAAATTATATATTGTCGAAGGCTTTCATAACTGAAATCACTGGGTCGTTGTGAGTTTTCCAGGCTGGAAAACTCATACATCCCAGAAAACTCACAACAACCCATTTATAAATTAGATGAGAGACCATGACCTCGAAGTATCAACAAATCCCTTTTCGCTGCTCTAAGCTACTCTTCATTTTTAGTCATGATGTCAAGGCCTTTGTAAAAAAAACCGATTAATATGGATAGACTGCTAAACTTTGTTACCAGATAATGATAGCTGTTCCTCATTAGCAGAAAATGTGTCTGAAACGAAGTATATGCTGCAAAAATGCCACACTTCAGGGCAGAAAACTTACAACATGTGGCACTGGGCAGAGAATTCATCTCCCAAGAGTCTCAATTAGCCATTTTTTGAAAGAGACAAGCTTTAAAGTTGCTAAGATATCCCTTAAAGGGTCTTAATAAAGTCCTCTGACACCTCAAACAGCGAAGACACAAATGGGTAAGATTTCTAGTGGATAGGACAGGATGTGGCATTATCATTTATTTACTTATTTCAAGCATTTCTACTCCACCCTTCTCAACCCCCAGAGGGGGGACTCAGGGTGGCTGGTAGTTATTCTCATAGTAGTTAGAGGCTGGTGCTACTTAATATTTTTTTCCCCTACATACTGAGGGTGAAGAACATAAGATGAGGTTTGAGAGCAAGCAGGGAGTAACAGAAGTCATGCAAGTACTGTCCTCACCTCATCTTGCAGGTTGATTTCTGCAGACCCTTTGTTGAGCTGATCCTGTAGACTGGACACCACAGCATTGTTTCCAGGGACTCGGTAGATGCCCATATATTCCAAGCCTTTATCTTCCACTACTTTACAGCAGGCTTCCACAATCAGAGGGACCTTCTGTGGGAAGTAAAATGCACATTATTTTTTTCTGCAATCACTACATTCTGAAGTTTCTTTTATTTATTTATTTATTTATTTAAAGCATTTATATTCTGCCCTTCTCACCCCAAAGGGGACTCAGGGCGGAGCACAACATACAAACGGCAAACATTCAATGCCGGGACATGAATTCATTATATGCATCCATAAACATTAAACGTTAAAAACATTTGTCTCAATACACTGTTTAAAACCGTCTTGATCATCTGCGTGTAATCTAATTGGCCTGGTAATGTTTCCTATCGCTGCTTTATTGCACTCACCCAAAAGCTTGGTCCCACAGCCAAGTTTTTACCATCTTTCTGAAGGATATAAGGGAGGGGGCCAATCTGATCTCACCAGGAAGGGTGTTCCATAGCTGGGGGACAATCACCGAGAAGGCCCTCTCTCTCATCCCCACCAATTGCGCCTGTAACAATAGCAGACGGAGAGCAGAGCCTCCTTGGAAGATCTTAATCTCCGCGACAGTTCATAGGAGGAGGTGCATTCAGACAGGTAGATTGGGCCAGGGCCATTTAGGGCTTTATAGGCCAAAGCCAGCACTTTGAATTGTGCCCAGTAGCAAACTGGCAGCCTGTGGAGCTGGCGTGTGCTCCCTGTATGCTGCCCCAGTTATTAACCTTTTAGATCTGATACAGATATTACACCAAACTCCTTAGATCAGAGGTGTCAAAATAATTTTCACTGAGGGTCCCATCAGCTTTATACAAGAGTTGAATGAAAAGTAATGGCTCCATCTTCGTAACTCCTCAACAGATGGCGGTACTGGTATGCAGCAGGTACTGGCTTGTTCAGTAGACTCTCCTCTACAGTTCCATTTTGGTGGGAAGTCTTAGCATTGAACAGTTGTGTTGTTAAAGTACGAAGTGTGGAACCCTTTGCAGATGGGCGACTTAAGCAACTCTCTTGACTAAACTCAACAAACTGCTGGGTTTCAGGTGTTACTGTATCACAACTCCCATCAGTTTTAGTTATGATGTGTAAGGATGAGGAATACAGGAATTGTAGGCCAGCATCTGGAGGTCCACATAAAATGTCAGCTGAATTCAGCCCACGGGCCTTGAGTTTTACACTTGTGCCTTAAATGTACCTTAAGTGACAAGTGCAAATAAAGGATCTTTGGAAAACAAGGTACCAGGCAAATTGTCCTGATTTACAGGCAGATTGTCCTGGTATCAGGCAGATTGTCCTGTTTACCATGGAATTAGGTAACATGACAGTTTTCCACAAGCAGGGGATTTCATCCAAGTCCTACCTTGTTGTCAGGAGCTGGCTGGCAGTCTTCTAGCCTCACCCCAAAGGCCCTTGGAGCAGGTTTCTTATTCTTCTTCATTATATTGATACCCCAAGGAGCTTTCTGATGAACATTGTCATCTGTGTAGGATACAAAAAAAGTTCAGTGGCTATGAAGAGAAAGCAGAGGAGGAGAGAGAATAGTGCAATTCAATCAGGTGAAAAATTACCACCCAAGGTTCTGTGTAAGGACCGGGCTGTGGCGCAGCTAGTTAGTAACCAGCTGCATTAAATCACTACTGACTGAGAAGTCATGCGTTTGAACCCAGCCTGGTCAGAGTGAACTCCTGACCATTAATAGTCTAGCTTGCTGTTGACCTATGCAGCCCAAAAGACAGTTGCATCTGTCAAGTAGGAAATTTAGATACCGCTTCATGCAGGGAGGCTAATTTAACTAATTTACAACAACATAAAATCTTCCAGCAGTGTGTGCAAGAATGAGGAAGTACTCCATCAAGGACTCGGTGTCACAAGTGGATGGTGAAGCGACAGCTGCCCCTGTGGCCAGAATAGAGCATAGCCTTATGAAGCCGGAATTGCCTCTGTGTCTGTCTATATATGTGGTATGCCTAATGGCATTGAATGTTTGCTGTGTGTACGTGTGTTGTAACCTGCCCTGAGTCCCCTGTGGGGTGAGAAGAGCAGAATATAAATACTGTAAATAAATAAATAAATAAATAAATAAGGCAGGTTTATGCAAAAAGATTTGGCAGGAAAATACCACTATAGTGAATCTTCCCTCTCATGAGAGAAGGCCTGGAAGGATGTAAGTTAGAGTTAAAAACAAACAGCCCCAACTTGAAATGGAAATGATACAGGGAAAATAGAAGCAGAGGGACAGATGAGAGATGAGATCTGGATTCCTTTGGATGGAGCTATATGAGTATAACTGCAGGAAAGGCCCTGTATCTGGTAGCTGCCAAGGTGGTATCTCTTTGTGGTGGAATCTCACAAACATGCAGACATTTACATCAACAACACATTTCTTACTATATCTTTCCCCACATGTTGAACTGCAACTTCCATCATCCATAATCAAAAGCTAGCCATTTTGAACACATTCCCCATGTCTGAATTCACTGCACTGTTTACAGTCAGTTTCTAGCCACAATTCATAGTTCTGATGTTGGAATTTAAAGTTCTATATTACTTCAGACCAATTTCCTTGAAAAATTGCCTACTCTCCTATGTTCAATTACTAAGGTAATCTTTGGAGGATATCCTTATTATGATAGGCAATTTCTCAATAGTGGTTCTTGATCTTGTGGAATGCCTTCCCAAGGGGAATCCACCTGTTAGATGGCACGTACACACATATCCTCCATAATTAAAATTAGACTTTTGATCAGACATAAGCAAACTTCAGCCCTCCAGGTGTTTTGGACTTCAACTCCCACAATTCCTAACAGCTGGTTGAAGTCCAAAACACCTGTAGGGCTGAAGTTTGCCCATGCCTGCTGTAGGTCCTCTGTCCTCGATTCTTACTCTTATTTTTGCTCCTTCTATTTAATTTTTAATTCTCTAATTACATCTCAAATTTGATTATATTATATCTCAAATAGATATACATTTAGATATAGAATCATAGAATCATAGAGTTGGAAGAGACCTCATGGGCCATCCAGTCCAACCCCCTGCTGAGAAGCAGGAAAATGCATTCAAAGCACTCCCGACAGATGGCCATCACGCCTCTGTTTAAAAACTTCCAAAGAAGGAGCCTCTACCATACTCCGGGGCACAGAGTTCCACTGCTGAACAGCTCTCACAGTCAGGAAGTTCTTCTTCATGTTCAGATGGAAGCTCCTTTCTTGTCGTTTGAAGACATTGTTCTGAGTCCTAGTCTCCAGGGCAGCAGAAAACAAGCCCGCTCCCTCCTCCCTATGACTTCCTCTCACATATTTATAAATGGCTATCATGTCTCCTCTCAGCCTTAAAAGCCGCTCCTCATAGGGCTTGTTCTCCAGACCCTTGATCATTTTAGTCGCCCTCCTCTGGACACATTCCAGCTTGTCAATATCTCTCTTGAATTGTGGTGCCCAGAATTGGACACAATATTCCAGGTGTGGTCTAACCAAGGCAAAATAGAGGGGTAGCATTACTTCCCTGGACCTAGACACTATGCTCCTATTGATGCAGGCCAAAATCCGATTAGCTTTTTTTGCTGCCACATCACATTGTTGGCTCATGTTTAACTTGTTGTCCATGAGGACTCCAATATCTTTATCACACGTACTGCTCTCAAGCCAGGTGTCCCCCATTCTGTATCTTTGCATTTCTTTTTTTCTGCCAAAGTGGAGTATCTTGCATTTGTCACTGTTGAATTTCATTTTGTTAGTTTTGGCCCATATCTCTAATCTGTCAAGATCGTTTTGAATTCTGTTCCTGTCTTCTGGAGTACTAACTATCACTCCCAATTTGGTGTCGTCTGCAAACTTGATGATCATGCCTTCTAAGCCTTAATCTAAGTCATTAATAAAGATGTTGAATATAGACACACACACAGTGATTTGCACAAGACATTACCTCTTAGTGCATTGGCATCCTGTCGTGGGGAACGAGGGGGGGCTGTTCCTAATTGCTTCTGTAATTCCGACTTCAACCCTGGGGTGCGAGGACCTTTTGGGGAAGAGTCTGGTTTGGTCCCAAAGGAGCTGTAGGGGAAGAACAACCAATGCACAAAGTTATGGGTTATGTTTAATTGCAACCACCTCCAGTACAATATACTAACTTTAGTACTAACCAAAGCAAGAGATAATTTTCAATACTCTTTTGTGTTTTGGTGGACAATGATGAGAAAATGTGGCATATTATGGGATGACTAGTGCATATAACACTATGTAACACATTTTTTTGTTCCTAATGTCATTTCCTAATTGATTCTATCATAAAAACATGGAAAAAGCTTCTTGAACTGCAAAAAGCTTTGTTTTTGCGGAACATCCTGCAGCACATTTTGCTATAGTTTTTCAATGAATATCTCATTGAATTTCAACCAATTCAACATAGTTTGTGGCAACCACAATAATGAAGTTTCTGGAGCATAACAACCACTTTCAAAGTAAGTACTGTACAATTAAAAAGGAGTAACACTTTCAAACCAGAAACCAAAAAAATATATCAAAATTTGTAGTCCACTGCACCAGCAATGTCTATTGTTACAACAAAACTCAGTGTTACAGTTCTGTCCCAGATAACTATCAGAACACTTTAAACACAGATTTGTGCAGTGGGGGCTCTCTTAAGAATTAGTGATTGATTTATTATTTATTTCCAGTATTTCTACCCCGTTCCTTCTCAACCCCCGAAGGAGGACTCAGGACAGCTTACATTTGGCAGCAATTTGATGCCATTACATATAACAAAGCAATATAATAACAATTAAACAATAAATAGAACATTCATTAAAAATAATAAAAACACACTATCTGAAATTTTGAAGTTTGCACCACTACCATTCTAATGTCATTTAGAGGTGATTCATAACACTGTTTTCAATCCTATCTGGGGACCCTAATCTCTAGGGAGCACGAGCTGAAAAGTAGTCAACAGCAGGGGAAGCTGAAGGTGATACAACAGGAAAGTTACTAGGGTATAATTTGACTCAACAAGAGTGAAGTGTGGTTGCGATGAAGACCAGACTAGTGGGATTCTTTTCCTGGACTCCAGAAATGGTGGGACAAAAATGTATGAGGAATACAAAAAAAAAGTTGAAAATTGCTTTCTTCAGTACTAGGGAACCTTGATGAGCAGAAACTGAGCCGAATGAGATTTTTTTTTGTAGTTTGGGATTTAGTAAAGGTAAAGGTTTCCCCTTGACATTAAGTCTAGTCATGTCCAATTCTGGGTGGTGGTGCTCATCTCCATTCCTAAGCCAAAGAGCCGGCGTTGTCTGTAGACACCTCCTAGAACATGTGGCCAGCATAACTGCATGGAGCACTGTTACCTTCCCACCTATTGATCTACTCACACTTGCATGTTTCACACTTGCATGTTTTCAAACTGTTTGGCACAAGCTGGGGCTAACAACAGGCGCTCACCCTGGCCTGCAGATTCAAACTGCCGACCTTCAGTAAGTTCAGTAGCTCAGCAGTTTAACCTGCTGCGCCACCATGGCCCTCTCTGGAATTTATTCTATATAAAAATGCATGTGGGTGTTTTGCAAATGAAATGGCATTTTTCTGCAGAAAAAGCAGACCTGAACAAAACAGAAGCAGAACACTTTTGCACAGAAAACATTTATGTCGATAAATCAAGTTGCCAGAACAGAATACATAATTTTTCTAAGCAGCTTATTTTCTGTCCAGAAAAAATGCCATTTTTATGGTTGCACAGGATAACCCCTAAACTATGAATCCATGCCCTGCTCACCCCACCAGCTCAATAGATATCTTGAGCAACGATTAATCAATTTGCCCCAAGGAAATGGGAACTTATTGTTTCATTCAATGTTTTGTCTTATGTCTGTTATAATAGGCTGTGTTTTTTATTTAATTTTAGTTTGTTAAGTTATGATTCGTGTTTATATGTTTAAATTTTGTTAGTATGGATGTATAATGTTGTATTCGGGCATCGAATGTTTGCCTTTTATGTTTGGAATCCGCCCTGAGTCCCTTCGGGAAGATAAAGCAGAATAGAAATAAAGTTGTTGTTGTTATTATTATTATTATTTGAAACACAACAAGATGAGTCCACAGCAGACATCACTCTGCTGGCTGTTGTAATGGATCACACTTTGAACACTTCCCAAGTGTCTAGGACTGTGCGATGTATTGGCAAATGATGCGTGCAGATCCCGGCAAGGTGGCCTTCTGCAGCTGGCAGATGGTAATTTTGTCAGCGCCGATTGTGTTTAAGTGCAGGCCAAGATCTTTAGGCACTGCACCCAATGTGCCGATCACCACTGGGACCACCTTTACTGGCTTGTGCCAGAGTTGTTGTTGTCGTCGTCCCCTTCTTCTTATTATTATTATTATTCAAGGACTTAGAATTTTATATTATTATTATTATTATTATTATTATTATTATTATTATTATTATTGGACTTAGAATTTTCTATGAGTTTCCTCACAGTAAAGAGAAAAAATATTATTGTTTGTCAAAGTAACATTGATGAAGATTTACATCCTTTGTTAGTAGCAGCCAATTGCCATGGACACTGGGATCAGAATCAAACCTAACCTGGTGGAAGAAGTTGCATTTCTGGAACAACCATTGCTCACCCCCAAAAGATGAAATGATGTATGATAAGACATTTACCTCACTTTCCTGTAATCATTTAGCTTCTTATTGATTAGTGCTTGGCTTGCAAACCCAGGGTCCTAAAGAAAACAACAAAAATAAAGGGAGGGAGGAGAGATATAGAAAATATTAACTGTCAGCTCATCAAAGTCACCAAAATTCAACCCAATCTCTATTTTCTCTTGCCTTCAATGACTACCCCTCACCCCCAAAGACTGAAGTGCAATTCAACTGCTCCTTGAACCAGCTGTCTTGTAGATCCTTTTAAGTACATCCAATAAATATGTTTGGACAGTTCCAACAACCCCTTCGTTTGTTTTTTCTTGACTATAAGGCCAATTTATATATTCCAACTGAAGTCAAGTGGAGAAAAAGGTGCTGCACAGAGTAAAGGGAGAAACATGGTCTCTTCCTTACTATTCACATGGAGGGTTTCACTGTGTCCTGGCATTTGTTTGGGGAGCATTCAAACTACTAACTACAACCTCATGGTCTGAAAATGTTACAAAGCTGGCATAACCACTAACTCTGATGGTTGGGAAAATCTGGGTGCTGTAATCTAAGAAAGTGGCATTTCAGATTTTGGACTGCTAAATATATAAAAAGTGCTAATAGTAACTAAAAGTCATAAATGCCCTATAGTAGTAGTTCTCAACCTGGGGTCTCCAGATGTTTTTGACCTTCAACTCCCAGAAATCCTAACAGCTGGTAAACTGGCTGTAATTTCTGGGAGTTGCAAGCCAAAAAAATCTGGGGACCCCAGGTTGAGAACCACTGCCCTAAAGGCACCAAATCCAAACTGATCTTGGAAGCTAAGCAGGGTCAGTTCTGGTTAGTAATCAAAGTGCTGGTCTTGACCTATAAAGCCCTATACGGTTCCAGCTGGGCTTACTTGTCTTGACCTATAAAGCCCTATACGGTTCCGGCCTAGCTTATCTCCCCTTACGTCCCACCTCGAAATTTACGATCTTCCGGGGAGGCCCTGCTCTCGTTCCCACCTTCGTCACAAATGTGCTTGGTGGGGATGAGGGACAGGGCCTTCTTGGTGGGGAACGCGCTCCCCAGTGAAATTAGGTCAACTGCTTCCCTCCTTTCCTTTAGGAAAAAGTTGAAGACGTGGCTATGGGACCAGGCATTCGGATAGGCATTTGGATAGCAGGTTGACAATAAAAATGATGACAATGCAATGGAAAACGGACTGTGGACTGGCTTTGAATTAAGTTGTTGACTGTTGAACTCGGACTATTTGTACTATTTTAAATGGTTTTTAAATCTAATTTATTGTTTACTTATTATGTTGTTTTATCTGTTGTGTATATGGGACATCAAATTGTTGCTGGCTGTAAGCCCCCCGAGTCCCCCTTCGGGGGTAGAGACAGGCGGGGTACAAATATTTGAAATTTAAAAATAATTAAAAAAATAGTACGGAGATTGCCAATGAATATATGAGGTCCTGTAGGCTGTAGACAAAACTACCCCTGAGAATTCGTTGCCTTAAAAAAAACTATGAACTTTATGGGATTGCCATAGGTCAATCTATAATGTGAAGGTATACAACAGTAATTGAGTTTTGATAGGTTGACCAACAGAGGGTGCTATAAGCCAACTGGAAAGCATTCTAATATTTAATGCAATAGCGCTCTGCTACAAGCCAACTATGATCTAAGTAAGTAAGGTTGCTCATAAAATCAGAAACTCTTTTTCTCCCTATGGCATTATTTATTTCCTTGTATCACTTCCAGATAATGGGGAACATCCCCTGCCCCCACGAAATACCTAGGCTGAACTCCACTTGCCCTTGTACTTCCCAATACTAAAAAGCCCAAATATAGAATAATAAAAATTGCTTCATCAGAAAACTAAAGAGGGGTATTACACTTTACTCACTAAACAAATGGGCAATGAGTATCATCCAGTACATTTCAATTTTCAGGAACATTTACCCGCCAACTCATCTAATCAGCTTCCCCATCCCTGCTGATTATTCAAATAGTTCTCCCAATTCAATAGTTTTCAGTAACTATTACCAGGGCAACCAAAACAAGTTAGAAAACCCTGATACATGGACTTCTAGGATAGTAAAGGCAAATATTTAGTCCTTCAGCTATTTTGGATTGCAACTTCCAAAAATGTGCAGGATTATATAGGTCTTCCACCTCTACTCTAACCTCATATTCATATTGTTGGGTCAACAACAGAAGACCTGCAAGCACAGTCAGGGGTTTCTTTGAAGGAAGCTGCTTTTCAGACAGAACAGTGACTTGTCTCTTCCACAAGAGAAGTTGCTGCTACTCGACAGAAACGTCTGCCTTCTTACATGAAAGCCCTCCAAAGAGCGTGCTTCTTTGGAACGTGTCCACTGGGTGGAGGCCATATTTCCATTCAGCTGTTGCAGCACCACAAAGTAGCTACAGATCCTTGCATGCCTTGGGAGATCTTTGGCTGCTCATACAGCAAGGCATGCTGCTAAAAGAAGGCTCACTGGGGGTTTGCAATGGACTTCTTCAAGGCCCATTGAGAGAAAAAACAGAAGGCTGCTAACACAGTTGAGCTTGAAAAGGTTGCGACCGACACGCCCAAGGACAGTGATCATGTTGGGTTGTTGTAAGTTTTTTGGGCTGTATGAACAGGTTCCTGAAGCATTCTCTCCTGACATTTCACCCAAATCTATGGCAAGCATCTTCAGAGGTTGTGAGGTCTGTTGGAAACTAGGAAAATGGGGTTTATATATTTATGAAACGCCCAGGGTGGGAGAAAGAACTTTGTTGGAGGTAGGTGTGAATGTTTCAATTGGCCACCTTGATTTAGCATTTAATGGCTTAGCAGTTTTTAGGTGTGGCTTCTTACTACCTGGGGGAATCCTTGATTCCTGCTGTCCCTGATTGTTTCTTGTCTGGAGTTCCCCTGTTTTTGAGTGCTTTTCTTTATTTACTGTTCTGATTTTAGAGTTTTTTTAATACTGGTAGCCAGATTTTGTTCATTTTCATGGTTTCTATTGAAATTGCCCACATGTTTGTTGATCTCAATGCTTTTCAAGCCACACCTTAAAACTACTAGGCCAATAATAATAATAATAATAATAATAATAATAATGGATTGTTGATGTTGCCATCCCAGGTGACAGAAAGATTGAAGAGAAACAACTGGAAAAGCTGACACGATATGAGGATTTAAAGATCGAACTGCAAAGACTCTGGCACAAGCCAGTAGAGGTAGTCCCAGTGGTGATCGGCACACTGGGTGCCTTGCCTAAAGACCTTGGCCTGCACTTAAACACAATTGGCAGACAAAATTACCATCTGCCAGCTGCGGAAGGCCACCTTACTGGGATCTGCACGCATTATTCACCGATACATCACACAGTCCTAGACACTTGGGAAGTGTCCGACGTCTGATCTTGTCTGCTGTGGACTCATCTTGTTGTATTTCTAATAATAATAATAATAATAATAATAATAATAATAATAATAATGTTATTTTTATACCCCACCTCCATCTCCCCAAAGGGACTCGAGTGGCTTACTAAATGCTAATCAAGGTGGCCATTTGAAACATTCACACCTACCTCCAACAGACAAATGTTCTTTCTCCCACCCTGGACATTTCACAGATACATAAAACCCATTTTCCTAGTTTCCAACGGACCTCACAACCTTTGACGATGCCTGTCATAAATGCAGTTGAAACATCAGGAGAGAATGCTTCTGGAACATGGCCATACAGCCTGAAAAACTTAGAAATACCCAGTGATTCTAGCCATGAAAGCCTTCGACGGTTCTGTGATCATGTTGTCTGGGAGAATCTGGATGATATGTTCCAAAAGGACAACTATTGCATGTTTTGTAATAGAGGCGCATTTGAAGAGCACTAGCCACTACCAATTCTCACCTCGCCCTCGGCTTTGCTACTCTCCCTGATGACTTTAATCCAGGCCAGCATATCATCACGATCCTCGGCCTGAAAGAGACATTCACAGAAGTCAGCGGTCGTCAGGCGAAAGACGTGCTTCCTCTTGGTGTCACTGTAGGAGATGTCTACCAGGCACGCTCGGATGCTGATTGGCTGCTGCTCCTCCTCACCTGGGGGCGGGGCTATGGCCACGGCCTCCCGCCGGTCCTTGCATAAGTATAGCGAGTGGACACGCAGAACAGCGAAGACCCGCTTCCACTGCCGGATGCCTCCGCCAACTTTCTGCAGAGGGGTTTTGGGGAATAGGGAGGACATGAATTGGGTGGGTAAAGTGATAAAGAAAGACAGAGAGGGGAGGTGGAGACAAAGCACAGATAGAACCAGTGAGAGAGCCAGCAGGGTCTGCATATTTTGGCACCTGGTGCAAATCTTCCTCCATTGATGAAGACACTAGTCTCAAAAGAGAGTTCAGACCTGGTAACAATGGGTGCATCTACAGCATAGAAATGGTTGGGTTTCATCCCTGGACTGCACACGTTTTTGTGTCATCAAGTTTCTAGTCCTCAATGAATAGCTAGACCAGAGACAGGGCTAAGCTCAGGGATTCCTTTCCCTGACATTCCTATGCATGTTTACCTAAAGAGAGGGGACCAGGGGACAATTCCATTTGTCTCCTAAATATGTCATCAGTTGGGGACCCCTCCCCCCCAGTACCAACCACCGTTCTGGGCCAAAGTGAAGAGAGAGGGGACCAGGGGACAGTTCCATCCTGTCTCCTGCATATGTCATCAGTTGGGGAACCCTCCCCCAAGCACCAACCACCCTTCTGGGCCAAAGTGAAGAGAGAGGGAGCCAGGGGACAGTTCCATCTTGTCTCCTGCATATGTCATCAGTTAGGGACCCCTCCCCCCAGTACCAACCACCGTTCTGGGCCAAAGTGAAGAGAGAGGGAGCCAGGGGACAGTTCCATCTTGTCTCCTGCATATGTCATCAGTTGGGGACCCCTCCCCCCAGCACCAACCACCGCTCTGGGCCAAAGTGAAAAGAAGGAGCCAGGGGACAGTTCCATCTTGTCTCCTGCATATGTCATCAGTTGGGGACCCATCCCCCCAGCACCAACCACCGTTCTGGGCCAAAGGGAAGAGAGAAGGACCCAGGGAACAGTTCCATCTTGTCTCCTGCATATGTCATCAGTTGGGGAACCCTCCCCCCAGCACCAACCACCGCTCTGGGCCAAAGTGAAAAGAAGGAGCCAGGGGACAGTTCCATCTTGTCTCCTGCATATGTCATCAGTTGGGGAACCGTCCCCCCAGCACCAATTGCCGCTCTGAGCCAAAGTGAAGAGGGAGGGAGCCAGCCGACAGTTCCATCTTGTCTCAGTTGGGGATCCCTCCCCCCAGCACCAACCGCTGCTCTGGGCCAAAGTGAAGAGAGAGGGGTCCAGAAGACAGTTCCACTTTGTCTCCTATGCTATGCTAATAATATAATGTAATGTAATGTAATGTAATGTATTGATTATACATATAATATTTATAATATTATAATGTAATACAATATAATACTACTAATAATATTATTATAATTATATATTTTATATGACATGTAATATTACTAATAATATTACAATATAATATTCGAAACATGCAAATGTGAGTAGATCAATAGGTGCTGCTTCTGTGGGAAAATAACGGTGGTCCATGCAGTCATGCTGGCCACATGACCTTAGAGGTGTCTACGGACAATACCGACTCTTCGGCTTAAAAATTGAGATGAGCACCACCTCTCAGAGTCAGACACGATTAGACTTAATGGAAAACCATTACCTATGTTCAAATTAAAAGTGAAAAAGAGTTTCTATAACTACAGTATTGTAAAGCATTATTTTTGTTCTAAGGGTGAGCTCTGCAGAGTTCAAAATGTGTTGAGATATTTCAAAACTTTATGTTTGTACCTTGGCTGGATTTAATGTTTTTGTATATATATAGATAACACTACCTTTTGAAACTTGGAGAAAAAAATCATTCAAAGTAAGCACCGTTTATGTATTTGCTTCATTGAGTAGCTGTCTTCTCAACAGCCTGGCTTCCACATAAAAGAAAAATCCAAAATCCATATTAGGGTACTATCTTTGGATTTTGTTTTACAGCCAACACAGCTGCTTCTCTGTTACATAAAAGTCAAGGACTGCCAAAATTGCAACAGAACTACCTTTTCAAAGATTACAAAGGAAGGGTCCCTGACACAAAGCGATCATTCTTTATTAATAGAGAAAACTCTTTCTAAACTTTATTTTTCATTGTCTTTGGAAGGTGGTATATAGAACTTTAGAGCCTTCCACATAAAAGTTACGCTCTAGAAGCAAACTTTTAATTTTTTAAGAAATCAAAGCCTTACTACCAACACTGAAAATCTATTATTTTAAATATGTTCTGGAAATCTGTCCATTGTGTTAGAGCCACTCACCTGTGCTTTCACACTGAAAAGAAGCATGGAATAAATTTGAATTAAGAGTCAAACCAGATATACAGAAGCTGGCGATGTACCTGCATTGGGATTTTAGCAAGTGAACAAAAAGAGAGATGTGTAATTGAAAGTCCGCTAAGAACAGCGTTTCTCAACCTGGGGGTCAGGACCCCTGGGGGGGTCATGAGGGGGTTTCAGAGGGGTTGCCAAAGACCATCAGAAAACAAGTATTTTCTGTTGGTCATGGGGGTTCTGTGTGGGAAGTTTGACTCAATTCTATCATTGGTGGGGTTCAGAATGCTCTTTGATTGTAGGTGAATTATAAATCCAGCAACTACAACTCCCAAATGTCAAGGTCTGTTTTCCCCAGACTCCACCAGTGTTCACATTTGGGCATATTGAGTATTTGTGCCAAGTTTGGTCCAGATCCATCATTGTTTGAGTCCACAGTGCTCTTTGGAAGTAGGTGAACTACAACTCCAAAACTCAAGGTCAATGCCCACCAACACCTTCCAGTATTTTCTCTTAGGTACGGGAGTTCTGTGTGCCAAGTTTGGTTCAATTCCATTTGATTGTAGGTGAACTATAAATCTCAGCAACTACAACTCCCAAATGACAAAATATATTCCCACAACCCTACCAGTATTCAAATTTGGGCATATTAGGTATTTCTGCCAAATTTCATCCAGTGAATGAAAATGCATCCTGCATATCAGATGCGTATCAGATATTTACATTATGATTCATAACAGTAGCAAAATTTCAGTGATGAAATAGCAATGAAAATAATTTTATGGTTGGGGGTCACCACAACATGAGGAGTTGTATTAAGTGGTCGCTGCATTTGGAAGGTTGAGAACCACTGATTATGAGTGAAGGAAGGATTGATGAACCCTTTTCTTATTTATCCATTCCTTAGAGTCGCCTTGGCTGATATAGGCGGTATACAAAAGAAGTTAATAAATAATAAATAAATAAATAAATAAATATTATAATTATCTCCCCTCAGACATTTTCATTCCTTACAAGGGATACCTTTTAGTCTTACAAATCACCAGAAAAACAACTGGGAGGAAAGCATTTTACAAATTGTTTGGCTACCAGCAATGCAACCCTTCTCAGTGAAGTAGTTCATGCATTCACCTGGAAGAATAATGTTGTGTTATGATGCTGTTATCTTCTCCCAAGAGGCTGTCTCAATGTGTTGAGTATATGTCTCAATGAATCTATCAATGCGTTGAGGAACCCATTCTCACTGAGGGTGAGGAACATTATGAATATTCTTTTCATTCTGCACTCCAATTAAGATGGGACTATTGCCTTATTCCACTGATTTTAATAAGAAACAAATGGAATTAATTTGGGTTCTTTATTGAGATATCATCTCCTGTGATACCTACATTTGTCCTTGATTGGTCACTACTAATTCAGATGACACAATTTTTGTGAAATTCTTTTCACATGCATGAACACAAACAGACACAACAACACCCTACTCCTTCATCTTAGAAACAGCATTGCAATGGGTTACACACATACCTTGCCTTTCTTGGTGAGAATTTGTTTATAGTGGAGCCAGCCTTCTTTCCTCACATCACTGAAAGTGACATCCGTCAGGTCAGATGTCGAATGCCGCTTTGATCGGGTATCTTCAGAGGCACCCAGGCTATCCAAGGACTACAAGGGAAGGGGAAAACAAAGATATCATCAGTGAACAAGATAACTACTGCTCAAGTAGAGGCAAAAAAGAGAGAAAGGAAGAGAAGTATACATGAACAGAATAGCGGACTACCTGCCAATTCATAAGCAACTTTTTAATATTATATCTCTCTCTTCAATTGTGGTTCCCAGAATTGGACACAATATTCCAGGTGTAGTCTAACCAAGGCAGAATAGAAGGATATGTCACATGATTCCAAAACTTGATTTAGATACACAAAAAACATTTGGGGTGCGTGCAAAGGACAAGCAGAGCCTACAGAACCATGTGACTGCTAAGAAAAGGGAAGATCACAGCACAACAACCTCTTACCCCATCAGTGAAGAAACTCCGCAACATACGGAGGCTTGGCACACGGCTTGGCAACCTCCTGGAAAGCAAGTATAGATACAATTGGCACCAGTAATGAGAATTTTTAAAAGAACAAAGAAGCCCTACTTACTTGCAAATCTCCTCACCTAATTACCTCCCTCACCCAAATGCTAAACTCAAGGACAGAACCACTTTAATACTTCCAAAAGGAAATGGAACAATACATTTTATCAAATATGAGTCGCCTGAAGGCTGAGAAGGGTACTGTACACAACACATTTGTATGAAAATAGGGTTGTAGTCAAGCACTAAATCATTGTCCACGCAGAATGTTCTTGGTTTGACCCTTGTGCTTCCAACTGAAAAAATTTAGGTGGCAGGGTTGAGAAATTTGGGAAAGCAGCTGCCCAGTTGGACCACAATTTCTAACTCGTTACTGAGAAAGCGTTATGTGTGTTACCATTCCTTGTCAGGCACAAGTCCCTTGTATGTTTTTTGCCACGAAAATTGAAGACACAAAGCAAATGAGAGCATCCTGAAAGGGCAATCCTACTGCCCTCAGAGTGTACATAATTTCACCTCGGTAAACTGGCTGTGCAAGATTTTTTATACAGCTCCCCAAACCTGTTTTCCCAGAGATAAAATATATCATGGAAATCAACGCCTCTTTCAATGCACTTCCTCAACAAACTGTCTGCTGTCAACAGACTCTTCTGGAATTTCCTATCAATTCTGAAGAGATTAGAATAATTCACCATCTGAACAAACTGGATTAATCCACCATCTTTCTTCATTTACCCCTACTGAAAAAGAGCAAATCATAAGGACTTTGCAAAAAGGAGGTGGCAAGCAGAGATGTAAGAAAACACACTAACCTCAGAAACTTCCCCTCATCCCGAAATGTGTTCAGACCATCGTCACACGACTTGGAACGTTCTGTGGTTATGGCTAAGAGGTAGGAAGACCGGCGACTGGCTTTGATGTTGCCTGTGACAAAGGATGACAGAGGCATTTTGTTTAAGGAAAGCAAAGATGAACAGCAAAGGGTGAAGTGGCCAAATCAGGTGAAAATCCTGTGGCATCCAGATGTTGATGGACTTCAACTGCCAATAGCCCCAAAGAGCATGGTCAATACCCGTGAATGCTGCCAGCAGTAATTCAAAAACATCTGAAGGACCATGGGGTCCACAAGTTTGATCTAGTACACTGCTCTGCCTTTCCACAATCTGCTCCCCACTCTTCTCCCCATTCTTCTGCTTCCAAGCAAAGGCTTTTTTATACAGATGAACCTCCTATAGCTAACCAATTTAATTTACCCTATGTGCTTTTACAGTGTTTTTAAATCATTGCAGGTGGTGCAATGGGTTAAACTAGGGGTCCTCAAACTAAGGCCCGGGGGCCGGATACGGCCCTCCAAGGTCATTTACCCGGCCCTCGCTCAGGGTCAACCTAAGTTTGAAATGACTTGAAAGCACACAACAATAACAACAACAATCATATCTCATCAGCAGGCCAACAGTTCCCACTAAAATACCAATAGGTTAATATTTGTTAAAATTGTCCTTCAATTTAATTATTGCATTGTTTAAAGGTGTTGTTGTTTTTTGCACTACAAATAAGAGATGTGCAGTGTGCATAGGAATTCGTTCATGCTTTTTTTCAAATTATAATCCGGCCCTCCAACAGTTTGAGGAACTGTGACCTGGCCCCTGTTTAAAAGGTTTGAGGACCACTGGGTTAAACCCTTGTACTGCTGACCTGAAGGTTGGCAGTTCAAATCCACAAAACAGGGTGAGCGCCTGCTGTTAGCCCTAACTCCTGCCAACCTAGCAGTTCGAAAACATGCAAATGTGAGTAGATCAATAGGTACCGCCTCGGCAGTAAAAGGTAAAAAGACGCTCCATGAAGTCATGCCAGACACACAACCTGGAGATGTCTATGGACAACGCAAGCTCCTCGGCTTGGAAATGGAAATGCGTGCCTCCCCCGGAGCTGGAGATGCGCACTGCCTCCAGAGTTGGAAATGAAAGGAGAAACCTTTGCCTTTGTCTGTGTACTTGTGTTTCATTGTATGTAATTGTAACAAGGTGCTGAATTTTTGCCTGTGTCTGTTTATATGCTGTAATCCACTCTGAGTCCCCACAGGGAGAAGGGTGGAATATTAATGTATTTATATAAGTGACATCTGGCCACTTGGAGTGCCTCTAGTGTTGCCGCAAGAAGGTCCTCCACTGTGCATGTGGCAGGGCTCAGGTTGCATTGCAGCTGATGGTCTGTAGTTTGCTCTTCTCCACACTCGCATGTCGTGGATTCCACTTTGTAGCCCCATTTCTTAAGGTTGGCTCTGCATCTCGTGGTGCCAGAGTGCAGCCTGTTCAGCACCTTCCAAGACACCCAGTTTTCTGTGTGCCCAGGGTCTCTCATTCGGTATCAGCCACTGATTGAGGTTCTGGGTTTTAGCCTGCCACTTTTGGACTCTCGCTGAGATGTTCCAGCGAGTGTCTGTAGATCTTAGAAAACTATTTCTTGATTTAAATCATTGGCATGCTGGCTGATACCCAAACAGGGGGTGGGCCAGAGATATCACTGCCTTGGTCCTTTCACTATTGGTTGCTACTCCCCTGCAGATGTCAGGTGGTGCAATACCAGCTAAACAGTGCAATTTCTCCAGTGGTGTAGGGTGCAGACACCCCGTGATAATGCGACATGTCTCATTAAGAGCCACATCCACTGTTTTAGCGTGGTGAGATGTGTTCCACACTGGGCATGCATACTCAGCAGCAGAGTAGTATAGTGCAAGGGCAGATGTTTTCACTGTATCTGGTTGTGATTCTCAGGTTGTGCCAGTCAGCTTTGGAATATAAATAAAGTATGAGGATGATGATAATGATGATGATGATGATTATGTGTTATAGTTGTCACTGTTGTTGTTATTGTTAGAATCACAGACTTGTAGAGTTGAAACAGATGTTAGATTTGCCCATCTGTTAAGATCATTTAAAATTCCGATCCTGTCCTATAGGGTAATAGCTATCCCTCCTAAATTAGTGTCATCTGCAATTTGACAAGCATATCCTCTATTTCGTCATCTAAACCACTGATAAAGATGTTGAGTAACACCCCACTAGTCACTTCTCTCCAAGATGACTAAGAGTAATTGGTGACCGCCCTTTGGGTTCGTTTAGTCAACCAATTATAAATCCATCTAACTGCAGCATTATCCAGCCCACGTTTTACTAGCTTGTTTCCAAGGCAATTAAGATATGCTACATCCACAGCATTCCCTTCATCTTCTAAACTTGTAACATTTTTGAAAAAGAGAGATAAGATTAGTCTGGCATGACTTGTTTTTGAGAAACCCATGTTGACTTTTAGTGATCACAGCATTCCTGTCTTAAGTGTTGAGAGACTGTTTATTTATCTGCTCAAGAATCATTCTTGGCACTGATATCAGACTGAGTGGGCAGAAATTGTTTGGGTCCTCTTTTTTCCCATCTTCAAAGTTAGGGAAACGTTTTCCCTCTTCTAGTTTGCTGGGTTTTCTCTTGTTCTCCGAGATTATATTCTGAAACTCCTTCTGCCGGTACATTTAATTCATTGGCCTTTGGAGAGTGACCACTTATCCCATTTCTGTCTGCTCCATCTATAGAGTTGCCCCTATGATGCACTTTCCCCATCCTAAACTGAAAGCCTACCCCACTGTTTATTCTTTTTGGTTCCCCTCAATTACATATTTTCTTTCCTATCTCATCCAGGGTTTTATCATTTTACCTCATCCATTTGGCCTGTCCATTCTGTTCGATTTTATATTGTGTTAATCTGTTTTATTTATTTTATTTTGCTATAGGACGTATTTTATTTTGATGTAATTTTTTGTTGTCTGCATTCTGTATTTTATTTTGTTGTATTGTATCTTTGGGCTTGGCCTCGAGTCCACTTTGGGGAGATGGTGGCAGAGTATAAATAAAGATTATTATTATTATTATTATTATTATTATTATTATTATTATTATTTACAATAACCAGGTATTTCTATGCTACCACTTTACCTATTCTGTGCTGCATTACTCTACAATTTTATTTATTTATTTATTTATTTATTTATTTATTTATTTATTTATTTATGACATTTATATGCCGCCCTTCTCACCCCGAAGGGGACTCAGAGCGGCTTACAAGTAACAAGTAAATACAATATATTATACTAGCTTTCCCCTGCCATGCGTTGCTGTGGCCCACTCAGGAAAATAAAGTAATGAGAAATTGTTGGTTTCTTATATACGTAATGTCTTTACGCTTATGGGTAAACAGTATTTCTTGCTGTTTCTTTGTCAGTGCTGATGTGGAGATTGTCTGGTTTGCCTACTCTGGAACATGCAACATAGAATGGTCTTTCTTTAGGGGTCCCTTTAAAATCTATGATACTACATCTGTCATATACATATATATGTATGTGTGTGTGTGAATTATATATATCTATCTATATCTATGGCTGGATCGCTCTTTGTCAGAAGGGTTTTGATTATATTTTCTTACCCGTGTGTAGGGAGTTGGACTGGATGGCCTTAAGGCAGCATTTCTCAACCTGGGGGTCGGGACCCCAGGAAGGGGGTTGTGAGGGGGTGTTAGAAGGCTCACCAAAGAAAAACACAGTATTTTCTGTTGGTCCTGGAGGTTCAGTTTGGGAAGTTTGGCTCAATTCTATCATTGCTGGGGTTCAGAATGCTCTTTGATTGTACTATAAATCCCAGTAACTACATCTCCCAAATGTCAAGGTATATTTCCCCCAAACTCCATCTATGTTCATATTTGGGAATATTGAGTATTCATGCTGAGTTTGATCCAGATCTTTCATTGTTTGAGTCCTCAGTGCTCTCTGGATGTAGGTGAACTACAACTCCAAAACCCAAGGTCAATGCCCACCAAATCCTTCTAGTCTTTTCTGTTGGTAAGGGGAGTCCTGTGTTCCAAGTTTGGTTCAATTCCATCGTTGATGGAGTTCAGAATGCTCTTTGATTATAGGTGATTATAGATCCCAGTAACTACAACTCCCAAATGACAAAATCATAATTTTTGAGTGATGGTCACTCCTTGTGTAGTGACACATTTTGCTGCCAATTTTGGTGTGCTTTCGTTCATTGGTTCTTTTGTTTTTAAGGTACCCATTATGCACAGAGCATGTTTATATATATAGATTATTACCATAGCACAATATTATTATATATTACACTGTACTAATTACTAATAACATTATACTGTAATATTATTAGTAATATTACATTTAATATAAAATATATAATTATAATGTTAGTAGTAGTAGTATTATATTGCATTACATTATAATATTATCACATATACAACACCATATGATCCATATTATTAATATTAGTAATAGTGTTTTTCTGTATTTCATACATCTGCTTGTGAGTTAGATTATTTGTTACACATTTATAGAATAATGGCAACAAATAAACTAAATTAAGTGGATGTATGAGACATTTGGCTTTTGAAATTGCTCTGGCTATTTTAAACACTGAAGGAGTGATCCTAGTCTATCTTTCAGTATGTTTTAAAAAAGTTTTTCTATAATCCACTATAAATAATCTCATAGGCACTGACAAACTGAGAAGGAAAACAGTAAATCTCAGTAACACACTAGCATTTCCCTCACAATATCTGAGACTGACTGCCTTACAAGTCTAAGGTTTAAGACTGTTGGCTTTCAAAGTCCTTTTTCCTCTGTCGTTGTGATTCAGCTTCAGTGGAATTTGTTATAAAACATAGCACTTGTCATTTTTTTTCTTTCTTCTTCTAACACAGCTAACCAATTTGGGGAGAACCATTCCAAAGCCAATTCTCCTTGCTTTAATTTCTATGCAGGCTCCCAAAGCCACCCAAATCTATGGTTTTGAAAGTGGAAAAATATATTGCAGTCTCTCCAGTTACGAGTACTATTTAATTCTCTGCCATTGTGAGAGAGGAGATAAACATAGCCACTACTACAGCACTATCGCTACTGTCACTGCAAAACTAAACATTTATGGGCTTATTTGAAATGCTGTCTTTAATTTTATTATAACACTGTCAATAGGTTAGATTCTCTCTTCAAGATTCGAATTTCCAGTAGGCTTACTAGCCCTTATCATCTTTTGGCCACCAGGTCTAACCCAAGCAGGTTAATGTTCAGACAATGAGCCCCCAGTGGCGCAGTGGGTTAAATCCCTGTGCTGGCAGGACTGAAGACCGACAGGTCGCAGGTTCGAATCCGGGGAGAGGCGGATGAGCTCCCTCTATCAGCTCCAGCTCCTTATGTGAGACATGAGAGAAGCCTCCCACAAGGATGATAAAACATCAAAATAATCCGGGCGTTCCCTGGGCAACGTCCTTGCAGATGGCCAATTCTCTCACAACAGGATGCTCCTGACACAACAACAACAACAACAACAAAAACCCAAAAACTAAGGTTCCAGAAATACTTACTGCAATCCTGGGAATAATGGCGGTTGACAGCAAAGGTGAACGTTGGTGAGGAGGGACTAGTAGAGAGTATAGGGGCAGAGTTCATGGCACTGGAAACAACAGAGGAGGCAGGGATGTGCTTTGCCTTCAGGTCAATACTGGGACTTGTTGGCTCATCTGGAACAACAAAGAACACCAAATAAATAAACAAATAATACAATAAGTAGAGAAGAGCTAGGTTGGCCCAAGGCATTCTGCTTCCAGTAAGTAGTACAGTAGCAAATGGTACCCTCACCCAGCCACCAATAACAAGGATGCAAATCCAAGCAATCTGTTTTTAAACTATAGTCAGAAAATCCCTTCAACCTAAATGCAATAATGCATTACAGTAAGACCCCCATAATCCATGGAAGATACATTTCCAGCAATTATGTGAAACCATGAATTTGACTAAATGCCATTAAATTGCTTCCTATAGAGCTGCTGTGGAGGCCCTAGAGCAGTGGTGTACGCCCTAGATCACTGGTTCTCAACCTGTGGGTCCCCAGATGTTTTGGCTTTCAACTCCCAGAAATCTTAACAGCTGGTAAACTGTAGGCCACAACACCTGGGGACTCACAGGTTGGGAACCACTGCCCTAGAGTTTGCTACACAGGTATCCTCTCAAAATATTTGCCAGATCCCCTAAAGCAATTCTGTGGTGAGTTCTAGGGGAAGTATACCATAAAATGGCCTGAAGGACCTAGCAAACTCCTAAACAGACCATTTTCCCCCTGGGTGTGAGTAAGCAAAATGATGGACCTGAGTTCCACAGTTCCACAGTTATAGGGGATTTACTATACAGTCTGCAAATTGCTTCTTTATCATGGCACTCATTTTATTTATTTATTTATTTATTTACTTCTTTTGTATACCGCAAATATCAGCCTAAAAAGGCGACTCATAATGCCTACTGTTTGCTTGTCACTATGCAGTTCCCACAAATACAAATGATAAGCATGATTAGGACTTCATAACACAATGTGGAAGTTAAACTTAGATATTTACTCCTTAGTCTTCCATTAGTATTTGGCTATCCAACCTTCACAGATATTCATGGGATTCAACTTATAAATAGAAATTGGTTGTAAAGAGACATATCAAAATAGCAAAAACAATGGTAACTTATTGGTAATGGAAGAAAGTATCAAACAGAACCAGTGTCAGCTTCCTTTGGTCCAGAGAGATCTTTAGGAGCTTTAGGACCACCGATTTGGATTCAGATTCAACTAGTAACGTAAAGTATAGATATGTAAAGGTTTCCCCTGACATTAAGTCTAGTCATATCCGACTCTGGGAGGTGGTGCTCATCTCCATTTCTGAAGAGCCGGCGTTGTCTATAGACACCTCCAAGGTCAGGTAGCCAGCATGACAGCATGTAGCGCTATTATCCTCCTGCAGAAGTGGTACCTATTGATTTACTCACATTTGCATGTTTTTGAACTGCTAGGTTGGTAAAAGCTGGGGCTGACAGCGAGAGCTCACACTACTCCCCGGATTCAAACTGCCAGCCTTTCAGCCAGCAAGTTCTGTAGCTCAGCGGTTTAACCTGCTGTGCCACCAGGAAGCCAAAGTATAGATAGTCAGATGCAAAAGTGGCGTACACCCTAGATCACTAGTTCTCAACCTGTGGGTCCCCAGGTTGGCCCTCAACTCCCAAAAATTCTAACAGCTGGTAAACTGGCTGGGATTCCTGGGAGTTGTAGGCCAAAACACCTGAGGACTCACAGGTTGAGAACCACTGCCCTAGATGGAAACAGAGTATACCAGAATTGTCAGGCCTTTTCACTTCCTGTGCAGAAGATTTCTCCTTCTCCTTACACTTGTCCATAACTCTCTCTTCACCTTGTCTCACATCCAATTTAACAGGCTGAAATGTGAGGTTAAAGTCATGTTTCAGAATCATTAAACTGAAAGGATTTTTTTCCTGCACAATATATTCATCAATGCTATACAAGCAATGGAGATTTCACTCAGAGTAGGACCCAAGAAAAAGTCAAATGGTGTGCATTAAGGATTAGAATCATAGAATCATAGAGTTGGAAGAGATCTCATGGGCCATCCAGTCCAACCCCCTGCCAAGTAGCAGGAATATTGCATTCAAAGCACCCCCGACAGATGGCCATCCAGCCTCTGTTTAAAAGCTTCCAAAGAGGGAGCCTCCACCAATATGTAAAGTTGGTTGGGTATTCCTAAAATAGCCTAGCCAGCCTGGGCAGGTCCCACGATGGCTGGGTAATTCTGGGAGTTTTAATCCAATAAAGTAATGTTTTGAAGTTATGGGAGTCCAAGCATCCTACTCCATTCTTCAAATTACCTCAAATATTTTCACTAGGCTAAAACTCGTTGGTACACTTGCCTAATTTGCAAAGTCTACTTACCAATAAATGGGATGGATGCTAGCGAATCCTCTGGTGTAGCCAAAGGGGCCACACCACGCTTGTTGTCTTTACCGGCTACCTGCGCCGGTGGAGGCGGATCGCAGATGTCTGTTTCCTTCATGTCATCCGGAAAAACAAAATTCATCTGCCTTGCAGGAGGAGGCATTTTGCGTCCAGTTGGAGGCTTCTGCCGGAGAACTACTTCCTCCCTTCTCTCCTCAGAGTCAGGCTGCAATTGTTCCGTAGGCTGAGGTGGAGAAGCCCGCTCCAGAGGTTTCGTGTCATTCTCCTGTTTGGCTGGTCTTTGGTCCACTGGGATCTCGGAGCGACTGCCCAGAAGAGGCTCTGGGCAAGGTGTGGGGGCACTGGGGAGCATGGCAGCGGGCAAAGGCCTTTCAACGTAAGGTGGCGTTGAGTGGTTTCCTTGCCTTTGAGAAAGATTAAAAGTTGGAAGATCACCAAAGGTAGCATCCCGGAATGAAAGGGCATGGAGCAAACCAGTCCGGCGCTGGAATGAAGGGCTATAGCTTCGGTAACCGATATACCCAGAGTCGTCGATGCTCTGGAGGTTGGGTTGGGAAGGGTGCTTTTGCACGTGTGCAGGAAGTGGATCCCTAGAAGAGGCAGAAGGGAAATAAGAACCAGGATGATTAGGCAGAGCTCGGTTAATTTGCCCGTGCCGGTAAAATCTGTCTGGTGGCCACATACACCTGTCATATCTAGGAGAAACCAAAGCGCCCTGCTCAAGACCTTCCAAGGATTGCCCATATTTCACCAGATAGTTCTCTGACCTGGCACGGTAGCTCCAGCCGTCATGGGCAGGGGATTGGATTAAGGTGTCCTGGGAAGCACTGTGAGGCCAACCCCGGGAGGCTGGTGCATCTCCCAGGCGGTCTTGCGAGATACTCCGGTAGCGAGGTGGCATGGCACAGTGTCGCTCCTCTGAAGAGCTGCGGCGTGGCACTTGGCTCGAGATCCAGTTGGACAAGGCCTGCTGGCATTCTAAACGACTGACAGATTTGGGTGCAGCCCCAATACAGTCCCGGGAGGGCCTGCCCTCGCGAGTAGTATCCTTCAACCCACCATGAGGGAGGTGGTCAGGAAGATGTTTGGGGGGCCCATAGGAAGCGTGGTTGGGCATAGAGGGAGCAGGTGGGACACAGTACCTTTCAGGTAAGGGGGTGGTTATAGGACCTGGGCAACTGCTATTGGAATAGCGGGGGAAAGAACCAGAAGGTGGGGAGGGTCTTGAGACAGGAACCCTCTGAGTCAATCCATACTGGACTTCCTCTGTGCGATGAGTGGGGCTGGAATGGTTGCTACTGAAGTTCTGTGTGGACTCAGGCCAAGCACTTGGGGGGCTTCTGTGGACTGCTGTGCTGTTTAAGGAAGATGAAGGGCCTGAAGATCCCGAGTGGTACAGCTGCCTGTTGTCCACCTGTTGCCCCTGGTAGGTCTCAGCTGCTGAAACATCCTGAGGAGAAGGTCTTGACTGGAAAGGGTAGGTTTTGCGAGGATAGCATATTGGTGGTGGTTCAGGGATGCTCTGGGCGCCTCCAGAGTATGGTTCATTGCCCTTTAGATAGGCATCTTGAGAATATGCCTAGAACGAGTGGATAAGAAAAGGGGAAAATCAGTAAGGTTGTAGCTGTAACTATATTATCTATATAGGCAAGAAGACTTAAAACAATAGATGAATGCTCTTTAAATCTGCCCTTCAAGACAGAGAACTGTTATGAGTACATGTAGCTTTGTTTACTAGCAACATGGCAGCTAGACCAAATCTGGCCTTCAAATTTACTACTTCTTCCCAGATGCCCATCAACAAGAATGTATTGTAAGAAGTTGTAAAAATAAATTGCAGAGAGGGTGCTTTGGAGAGAGGAGTTGTGGTGTATCAGCTCCCTTTCCATTCTCAGACACTCTGTTAACACTTATTGAGGTGGCTGTGCTGCCCACGGGCTAGAGGTGGCACTCAAGTGGCACTCAAGAGGTACTATTTGGCCCTTGACCCTCAATCTGCTACCAAATGTTTGTTTTTTTTTAATCTGGAAGTTATTTTCACACACACATCCCAAAAATCATCTGCAATGTGCTTATTCTGGGGGCTACGCGTCTGGTGGGGATAAGAGACAGGGCCTTCTCGGCTTTGGCCCTCCTGCCTGTGGAACGCGCTCCCAAATGACATAAGATCGGCCTCATCCCTCCTCGCTTTCAGGAAGAAATTAAAATTGTGGTTTTGGGACCAGGTTTTCAGTCAGCAGACATAATTAACACTTTAGACGGACACTGACTGGAGTGGAATGACGACACGGCTGATTAGACTTTTTTATTGGTTTAATTAATGCTTGATGTATTGTTTTTATTCATGCTCTATGTATTTTATCTATTGTTGTATTATATGTAACGGCATCAAATTGTTGCCTTATGTAAGCCGTCCTGCATTCCCCTTCAGGGGTAGAGAAATGACGGGGTAGAAATACCAGAAATAAATAAATAAATACACGACCAGAATTTCACTTTTGATCATGGCAGTATGATGCAGCTGATGAAGGGATGGGAGGTGTTGAAAACAACTCTGTGATTCCTAGTACCTGCCCACCCTTACTGCAACAAGACCAATTGCCATTTGAGATGTGTGAACATTTCTTAGTGTCAACTTCATTACATTTCTCCAAATTCCACCTGAATTATCTTTGCATCCTCCCTTCATGTCCGACTGCAAGATCTTAGACCTCTTAGGAGGATGGGATCTTGCATGGAAATCTGACTGCATTTTAATGCACTTTATATAAGATATGCATTTTTCCACTGACTAAAGCATACTTTCAACTGGATGCATATTTAGTTATTCAAATTATCACATTATTTTGTGCACTCCCTCTTCCTCTAAATCACAATAAGCTTTGCAAATGCGCAATTCTCTAGGTGAAGTGTGTTACTTCTTGAAATGAGTCTTAAGAATGAGAAAAAGCATCTCCCATTGAGATTATCAAATCCAATAACAGTTTTCCATTCCCCCCTCTTTTACGCCCCTTATAACTAGATGTCCATCATATTTTTGATGAGAAATATTCACTACCTTGCAACTCTGTGTACCCCTTTTCACCAACAGTATGCAGTCTGTCCCAAACTTAAGACTTTGGCATGCTTCTGTCTTTGTGCCACTTCTTCCTTGGCAAACATCACTGCTCTTCAGCTCCCTGGCTCTCATCCACTACCTTTAATCCATTCTGTATCCTCAGCCTTCATGCCAATGCAGAACCCCCAAGTTCCTAGGCACAGTGTGAGATTTCTATCTCAGCCAAAAACGTCTTCCACTTCCCTTATGGCAACTTTGCAAACTCACAAGATCCTGTGCAATAATAGAAGTTCAACCAACAGCTGGTATCAAAGGGGTCTGCCAAGTTTTTAGCCCACACAGTATTTATACACGTTGTTCTTGTGTGCCTCCAAGTAATTTCCAGTTTACTGTGACCCTAAAGTGAACCTATCACAAGGTTTTCTCAGCAATGGGCTTTTCCTTTGCCTCTCTCTGGGGATGAGAGAATGTGATCGGTCTAAGGTTAAATACATAATCGAGCAGGATTTGAACCCTGATCTCCAGAGTGATAGTCTAATGCTCAAAATACTATACCACATTGGCTCCCCTTTACACAGGGAATTGTATATATTGCATATGTCTCAGTTTGATGCTTCAAAGAAACAGAGCTAACATGTTACCTTAGCAAATGTATAGCCTCAAGTTTCTAAAAGTATGGATGAAAGTATGGTTTGGCTGGGGAAAAACAACCTGTCCTATGCCTCCCTCCCATCCTCCCATGGCCTGCCCACCTTTTCACTGATTCTGTGGATGGGCAATAGAGCAGACAGTGGGGGCATCAGCAAGTGACAACTGATACCAAGTGGGTAATAATTGAGCAGGAAGGTTGCCATAAATGGTACCTTGCCCAGACTCCCCCAAAACCTTAAGGGTAACACTGTTGAAAATGCACTTGCTAACTTCTGCGGACATCAGAAATGTGTCAGTGAAAATATATCATATATAAGAACAAACACCAGGTACGCTTAATCCCAAATCTGTCTCACTGAGATAAACAAAGATTATTTCTAGGTAAACAAGCATGCATAGGAATTAATCCTCATGTTTCAATATTCTCCCAGCACTTTTGTTTTCAACCATGCCAAGATACAAACCTGCCACTGAAGTGAAAAACACTTTTCCTAAATCGCCTGATTCCCTTTGGTCATGCTTTGGAGGAAAGTTGGAATATGAAAATGGATATTTACCAAAGAAACAGTAGCAGCTGTAATACCGGTAAAAACTAACGTTGTTTGTTTTCTTTAAAATTTTCTGTAAACTCCTACCGTGCAGGGAAAAAAAGATGGGGATCGAGAAAATGTTTCCCATGTCTTCCATTTGCAACAAAAACTGAGAAATGTATAGTTTTCCATCTCTTCACGGAAGGTGTGTGCGCGAAGAAAAGCTGTCTGACTCATGCTCATATTGATGTCCTGGAAACCGAAGGTTCAACATATACACAAAAGGGAAAAAAAACTGTCTTCCTGTTTGGCAAGCCTAGTTAAGATTTGGACCGGAGTGAAAAAGGAGGCAGATATACCTTCAGTCCATTTCACCTATTCAATTCAGGCATGTATATAGATGCCTGAAACATGACAAAATCTTTGCTAAGTAGTAATAACGCCTGGACACTAAACTGAGAAGCAAAACGTTCTCCACTGCTCCCGTCACATACTGGAATCCTGCCTCCGTTAGATGAAACCACATTTCTGGCCAGGGACTTGCCAAGATCCAAAAAAGGAGTTGTGTTTGAAACAAGGCCCCAACTTAAAGGAGCAGCAAGCACTCCCTTGTTAAAACAGTTGACGGTATAAGAAAGAAAGAAAGAAAGAAAGAAAGAAAGAAAGAAAGAAAGAAAGAAAGAGTTTATGTATGTCACCTGTATTTGTGCCCTTACTAGAAAGCATCTTCTATGATGTTAATAAGGTTATCAGCCCTCCACCCCATCATGTGGAAGCCTTGGGCTTTGTAACTAGTAAATTTCAAATATATTTGCAATCCTATGTCAAGATGTTGAAGGGGGTAACGTGGTACCCTCTTGCCCAACAGACTTAAATTAGGCGCTTTTGCTTACCCACCACCCCAGTTCATGCATTCATGAACATGCAGAATGTCTTCTGTTCAAAAATAATGGGATCCTCACAATATAAAATTACCTTTGCCTCCTTCGTCGCTTTGTTTATGGTCCTCTATTTTTGTTGCGAGCTTTCTTTCTGCCCTCTTCGAAAAGATAGATTCTCCCTTTCCCCGAAAATCTCTGATGTCTAAGCTAATATTTCCTCTCTTTCTCAATCTTTCCTTTTAAGTTTGGTTCTTTTTTGAAAAAAAATAGAATAAACTGGGACGTCCCAATGTGGGAGGGATGAAGGGAGCCGAGAATTCCTTTCTGTGCATCCTGTCAAGAGTCACTCTGTAACCCAGGGCACTCTCATTGGCTAGCCAAGCCGGCTTTCGCACCACAGGAATGCCGACACACCCCTGTGAGGCACCAGGGCAGGGGAAAAGAACCCACACAAAGGTTCCTTTGCTGCACAAGATGTGAAAAAGCAAAGCAAATTTGAGGACCAGCTCCTTGCACCTAGGCAGAGCATTACGGTGTCTGCAGCTATGATGCCTTCTGTCAAACTTCAGTTGCTAAGTAGGAGCTTTGTGTGCAGGTGTGTCTGGTGACTCCCTGACTTTCATAGGATTCTCTTAGGCAATTAATATTCAGAGGTGGTTTTACCAATATCCTTCTCTCTAATATAGTCCACAGCATTTGGTATTAGTTGACCGTCTCCCATTTAGGTACTAATCGGAGCGAACCAAATTGGGCCAGGTCCTTAAGGGCATTTTGGCCAAGCATTTGATGCTATTCCTCGAAAACCCTGGGAAAACTCTTAGGTTGCAAGAACACATGTGTTCTTGCCCTTGTGTTGCATCTCTATCTCACCCAGGGTTTTAACTTTTTAACATTTTACCTCATACATTTGGCCCGCCCTCTGTGTCTGGTTTTATTATGCTGTTTTATATTGTTGATTTTTGTTATTTTATATTTTGTTATGATGTATTTTGTTATTGTGTGTTTATTATGTTGTATTATTTTGGGCTTGGCCTCATGTTAGCTGCCCCGAGTTTCCTTTGGGGAGATGGTGGTGGGTTATAAATAAAGATTATTAATATTATTATTATTATTATTATTATTATTATTATTATTATTATTATCCCCTTGCCATCTCAGAACAATTTGAAGTACTACTTTCTGCCTCTCTGTTGTTGTTCATTCGTTCAGTCGCTTCCGACTCTTTGTGACCTCATGGACTAGCCCACGCCAGAGCTCCCTGTCGGCCGTCACCACCCCCAGCTCCTTCAAGGTCAAGCCAGTCATTTCAAGGATACAATCCATCCATCAGCCTCTATAGCCCTAAAGAGTTTGAGCCTCAAATATTTCAGACCAACTTACCCTACCCTATTCTGATGCCAGTGGGGGTTGTCCATCTGTCCCATCACTAACACCAAATATGTCAGACTACATCTGTTATCACTTGCCTACATGGAACACTAGGGATGATACATGGCTTGTAAGCTTTATCAGTGTTCTCTAACATGCCATTAGTCAGACCCCGGGAAAATTACATTTTTTGGTGCACCTTCCATCAGTTAGAATGATCTCATCCTTCCTCTCTCTCACGTACATATGTAACTCCTATAAATTGCTGGTTTGGCGCTTTGGGAGAGGAACCCAATACTGAGAGAATTCAGAAAGCTCTCAAGAAGAACTGCCATTTCCAGATCTAAGAAGCAAGTTCTTTTCACCTTGAATAAAGGAGTGGGGTTTTCAGTTACATATTTAGGAGAGAAAAAAGAGAAAGCATGGTGGAACAGTTGGATGTTGGACTACGACTCTGGATACCAGAATTCAAATCCTCATTCAGTCATGGAAATCAACTAGGTGACCTTAGGCAGGTCAAGCGCTTTCAGTTTCAGCTGGAAGCAAAAGCAACCCACCCACCCCCACCCACCCAAATTCATGTATGTATGTATGTATGTATGTATGTATGTATGTATGTATGTATTTTCTATATTTATACCCTGTCTTTCTCACCACCGGGGGGGTGGGGGGGAGAGAGACTCAGGGCGGCCTCACAACAAGCATCGTACGATGCCATCACCAACATAAAACATTCAACAAATACATTGAAACATTAAAACAGTTCATTAAAAACAATTGATTAAACACGCTAGTTAAATCCAAGTCTGGGTCAGTTCATTGCCACGAGTTGCCTGTCTTCTTTCCACTTGCTACTATTCACTGGTCAAATGCCTTCTAAAATACAGGAGGGAGGTGGCCAGTCTAATGTCCCTGGGAAGAGAGTTCCACAAATGGGGAGGCCACTGCCGAGAAGGCCCTGTCCCTCATCCCCACCAATCACATTTGTTTCCAAGAAAAACCCATGATGGGTTCATGTTAGCATTGCCATAAGTTGAAAAAAACTTGTAGACATACAACAACAATTTATGAGGGAAGAAATATAAAATTATCTTTTAGTGAGACTTTTATACTGTATTTTTATCTATTTTGTATTTGAGTTGTTGTGAGTTTTCCAGCTGTATGTCCATGTTCCAGAAGCATTCTCTTCTGGAACATGGCCATACATCCCGGAAAACTCACAACAACCCAGTGATTCTGGCCATTAAAGCCTTCAACAATATTTTGTATTTTCTTATTTTGGCCTTTTAGACTGTATCAAAATGTTGCAATATTAATGAGCAGCACAGGCAGACGAACCCCACAATCAAGTCCTGAACAGAACATTTGGGACAGTATTTAATATACAGTTTGTTGTATTGTTGTGTGTATATATATGAAGTTAAATTATAATTGCATCTGCAATATTCAATTATAGTTGGCTCCACAGAACCCAGGAATACAATGATTATTTCAAATTTTAATCAAGATGTGGGGAAAGTGTGGGATATAGTTCCATTTGCAAAGGAAAGAGAGAACTTTTCATGTGTCCTCCACGTCTGCAATTATCACAGCCAGCTTCATCCAAGCTCTTAATGTGTTTTCCAAAGGAAAACCTTACCTAATAATTGCACAGCATTTATTTTGGAATCTAACAATCTACTAAGAGATGTAACATTAGCAAGGACAGAGCAATAGAATATAGGCTAGCAACCTATTCGTAGTATGTATACACATTTGACTGGTGCAAATCTACTTGTAGGATTTGTACATAGAGATATATCTTACAGTGTTGAAATATCTATATATAAAGATCTGTATCCATGCTTATCTCTACAAACACATAAAGAAAAGTCAGCTTCAGAAAGGAACTTAAGATCACAGTATTAGTGTAGCATTAATGCTTCCACTCCCAGCTGTTTCTCTTCTATAATCCTGCCACAGAATCTCTTTCTCAATGTATTTGTAAACACACAGAGTAAAGGGAGAAGCAGCCAATATGGCTAATAAGAACTGGAGTAGTGGCAGGCATGGGAAAGACATTCAAATACTGTTATTTCTCTAAATAAATGTAAATGTTAGATAGCATGAGGGAGAACATTCAACCCTGCGGGACATCCCCGGCCAGGGAGTCAAACAGGAGTCCCCCAGCACCACCATCTAGGTCTGATCTTCCAGGAAGGACGGCTTGCTATCTGCCATTTGTTAGAGGCTTTGCCATAATTGTCTGCGTATGTAATCCACCACCATCCCTGTTGTGCGAAGTTCTCACTGTGTTTGTGAGTACATTAAGAGAAAACCTATAAATAATTATAAGTAGCAAATAAATCAAGCACAAAACCTCCATGGACTTTGGATGAAAGTATATATGACTGTATAATTAATGTTATTGTTTATGGTTTTATATTGTTGTTACTGTGATATTGCGGCATCAAATTGTTGCCAGTGTTAGCCGCTCTGAGTCCCTGCTCAGGGGTTGAGAAGAGCGGGGTAGAAATGTTGTAAATAAATAAATAAATAAATAAATAAATAAATAAATAAATAAATAAGGTTCTGGCCCAGTTTACTTGTCTGAACGTATCTCCTTCTACGTTCCGCCTCATAGTTTAAGATCTACTGGGGAGGCCCTGCTCTCAGTCCCACCAAGCGCATCTGGTGGGGATGAGGGACAGGGCCTTCTCAGTGGTAACCCCCCACTTGTGGAATTCCCTCTCCAGTGAGATTAGATCAGCATCCTCCTTCCTTTCCTTTAAAAAAACCCCTAAAATTGTGGTTTTGGAACTAGGCCTAAGCTGGGTGAGCACAGCAGCACCAGGGACTTCGAACCGGACCATACGACTGTTATGATCATTTGGAAACGGCTTTGTGATGTAATTGGAAATGGCTATGTGATGTGATTATTTAACCAATATTATTATTTTTAAAGTTTTATATATTCATGGTTTATATTGTTGTCTATTGAGATTGTGGCACTGAATTGTTGTCTATGTTAGCCGCCCTAAGCCCCCCCCCCCCCGGGGTGAGAAGGGCAGGGTAGCAATGCTTTAAATAAATAAATAACCTCTTTCCAAAGCCCCTTTTCTTTTTGAAAAGCAGCCATTGAGGTTTTGCTTTATATGCATGTGAGTGTTAGTCACTGAGTGTAGTCAATTGTAATAAAACACTGAGATATTTCAGTAAGTTTGAGCTGCTATGCAGTCAGCAAAGTAAACCCACCAGGAAAGCAGCCCTTGGCACTGGCAAAGCACTCACCAGTTGCAGAATATCCTCATCTTTGGGCATAATGGAGAGTTCCAATGCATCTTCACTGTAAAGAAGGAAAACAATTTTGAAAAAGATTAGGTTTTTAAAAAAGACTTTCTATGTGCCAACATGGTAATCATTTGGGGAATCTGTGGTCCTCCAACATCCACCTTATTTGACTATTTCCCACACTCTTTGGGCTGATGGGAGTTGGAGTCCATCAACATTTGGAAGGCCATAGGTTTTCAGGCTCTGCTTTAGCCAACACACACACACACACACACACACACATATGCTCAAGACAAGCCTAACCAGAAGGGACTCCAAACACAGCACAATTTACCACATTTTAAAATAAGCAAAGAAACACACACTATTGTCAAAGTCCAGAATTTAAAATGGCCCAAATACATCACGGTTCCCAAAATATTCCAGTTCTTGTACTCCTTTTTCAAAATCAGTACAAAGGGCATCAGGGACAAGGAAGAAATAATTTACAACAGAGCACTTAAAGGAGCCATATCACCTCATTTAATAACACAGTGACATTTTGCTTAATGAAAAATAGTCCCAGAAAGCTCCAAATACAAAATAGGGAAACGTGGCCTCATCAACCCTTTCCCACCCTTGAGCAAGAAACAAATTTCATAACCTGGGAGCAACCATCGAGAAGGCTCTCTTGTGAATCTTCACTTTTGGTGGTGGTAGGTCTGAAAGAAAGCCCTTTCCTCAAATCTCTTAAAACAGAACAGATAGGCTTGTATTTTATTGTATTGTAATTTGTTGTTCGGGCTTGGCCTCATGTGAGCCGCTCTGAGTCCCCGTTGGGAGAGATGGTGGCGGGGTATAAATAAAGATTATTATTATTATTATTGAATAGAATCACACTCAATAAGCATGAATAGAAAAATGTATGTTCCACAAGATACTTGGTTGGTCCCCTCTCTGCACTCTTTTCACCTTATTTCAACAGGCTTTTAGGTCCTATCTACACTGCCATATACAATCCAGATTATCTGATTTGAACTCGATTATATGGCAGTGTAGACTCATATAATCCAGTTCAAAGCAATATGGATTATCTGATTTGATAATCTGGATTATATGGCAGTATAGAAGGGGCCTTAATTTTTAACTAACAGGAAGCATTGGTTTGCTGTAAGTTTTTTGGGCTGTATGGCCATGTTCCAGAAGCATTCTCTCCTGACGTTTTGCCTCCATCTATGGCAGGCATTCTCAGAGGTTGTGAGGAAGCATTGATGGGTGTGCTGAATCTTAACGTGTTAAGTGTTTTTAATGTGTTGTTGTAGGTTTTTTGGGCTAAATGGCCATGTTCTAGAGGCATTCTCTCCTGACATTTCTCATGCATCTACGGCAAGCATCCTCAGAGGTTGTGAGGTCTCTGAGGATGCTTGCTATAGATTCAGGTGAAACGTCAGGAGAGAATGCCTCTAGAACATGGCCATATAGCCCGCAAAAAGGTACAACAACCCCGTGATTCCAGCCATGAAAGCCTTCGACAATACATTGAGGATCCCATTTTGGTTATTTTCCTACTTTTATTTTGTTTTCATTAAACACTACAGGCAGAGTTGCTGTTTGGCATACATAGACTAATTCAGTGTAATATGCTCATTTTGGCCATGAAAGCCTTCGACAATATAGTTTTTAATGTGTTTTTAACTATTCTAAATTCATGTTTTTAAGTGGATGACTGTTTAATGCTTTTCTAAAAATATATATGTATTGCAGATCGCTTTAGATATACCATAAGCGGCAAAACTGAATGTTTGGGAGGGGAGAGAAAAATGGAATATCAGCACTGGGGAACTTTAGTGCCCTTCCTTTGCTCCCTAAAGCCATTTGCTACCTTAGTTGCAGCAAAAGATACTTTCCCATCACTACTGCTGAAAAAATATTCCAGCTGTTGATCTGGTAGGATCTTGTACACAGAATAAGAGATGTCAGCTTTTACTTTGCTTCAGCCTGCAAAATATCGTGGGCCAGCCCTGCCACTCAGCAGCAGCCTCTGAGGGTCACAAGAAGCCTTTCTTGGGTCTTTTAAGAAGGATCCTTTTCACTGGAAATTCCAGGGGTTGGGTCTTTTCCCTGACGAATGGGATGACGTCAAATCACACGTTTCCTTTTCTCAAAGTTACCAAGGAGATGGCTCGGTTAGACATGAGTCAGTAACAGCCGGTTGGCTCTCATAACTTCTAGACTGAGGTTGAAATTGTAACCAGGGAACTCCTTGGCACACAGCTCCCATTATAAACCATCAATTCAATGAATAGTTCAAAATAGTTAACAGCTATTTAACCGATCCCGCTCACTGTCCTTGCTATGGTTATCTAGTTTCTCCCTTCCTAGAATTTTCCTCTTGCTCCTCCTCCTTTTTCTTCATTTTTTACTTCAGTTGGGAAAAAAACAACCACCTCTTTTCTCCAGAAGTGGATTGTTTTTCTCTCTGGTGACTGTGGATTTTATAGCAACCAGGCTTTCTATGTCTTTCCAGCTCCAATTTCTTTCATGAGCTACCTGCCAACTGGAAATAAGGCCACAAACCAGAAAGGAGGGAGGAGGAACCTCCATATCAAACTTTTCCATAAATTCTGCATCAACACTGATGAGCAATATTTTAGTTGTTTTTTGCTGCTTGTCTGAAGAGTTGTCATGTATTTGTTTTCAGCTGGTTAAGTTATGATTTCCCACAAGCCATTGATGCATCTGGGCTGTGTGTGTGTGTGTGTGTGTATATATATATATATATATATATCCCCAGATGGATTGATTTCACTTTGCACGTTCCCCGCTGACTATATTTAGGTCCCTTTCTCAGGTCAGGTTTGGCTCCCCACGTCCCATACGCAATTCTGAAGGCTAATTAGACACAGAGAGTTCAGAGCCATACAACCAAATAGGACAAAGCAGTATCTTCTATCATGTCATCCTTTTCCTTGGGTCAAGAATGACAAAAGTTTTTAAATACTGCTCATTTGGGAAACAGGTGCATAAGAACATGGGGTCTCTTCCAACTCTATGTTTGTATTATTCAATAATAATAATAATAATAATAATAATAATAATAATAATTTATTTATTTATTTATTTATTTATTTATATACTGCTCTAGCTCCCCGAGAGGACTCAGAGCAGTTTCCAAGTAACATTATCAATACATACAGAGTAAACAACATAACCATAAGATTAACAAAACTATATAAGCATAGAAATTGTTGCCATAGCACATATATATTAAAAGTAATCCTGCCTGTTCAAGGCTATTTAAAAGGCCAGGCCAAGATTAATGCAAGTTCAAAAATTCTAGGGGGCCTGGGAATTAAGTGCAGTGCTATAGCAGGCAACAACAATAATAGGTACGGGTCTATGGCTGTTCATTTCCGGGGCCTATTAGAAGAAGTGACCTGGGTAATTGGTAGGAAGAATAAGGTCATATCCAAAAATGTCTAGGGCTGAGCTAGAACTAGTCATTCTCAAAGGCTTGTTGAAACCACCAGGTCTTCAAGCTCTGACGAAAGGAGGGGAGAGATGGGGCCTGTCTAATTTCCCTGGGGAGGGCGTTCCAGAGGACAGGGGGCCACCACTGAGAAGGCCCTCTGTCTTGTCCCCACTAACCGTACTTGTGACAGTGGTGGGAGCGAAAGGAGGACCTCCCCAGAAGATCTTAGATTTTGTGCCGGTTCATAGGAGATGCGATTGCGGAGATAGGCAGGAACTCTCTGCCCCGGAGTGTGGTAGAGGCTCCTTCTTTGGAGGTTTTTAAACAGAGGCTGGATGGCCATCTGTTGGGGATGCTTTGAATATGTTTTTCCTGCTTTTTGGCAGGGTGTTGGACTGGATGGCCCACAACGTCTCTTCCAACTCTATGATTCTATGTGTGTACCCCTCTCTCTTTCTCCTCCTGAGAGATCATCCTTTCTACAAAAAATTGCATATAATCCCAAACCCAAAGTTCTCCTTAAGTAATTAAAATGTTGATGAGATACATTACATTGACTTTATTATATGCTTGTCTAATGACCAGTGAGGGGCAAAATGGGCAGAGGAAAAAAACTAATACAGCAAATGGACTCAACGCAAGAATAGTGTACATGTGAGGTGAGGAAGGGAAATCTGGCAAGAACATTGTGACAATCACATTTGCCCATTTTAAATTAAAATAAGGGGAAAACTTGTGTCCCCCACCCCAAAAAAATCCTAATTAAATCATGTCTGAAATTATATAGGCATCTTTTGAATATATCTGATATGGTAATATGTTGACTTTGAAATGTGTGCATTCAAAAACACAATATAGAGATGTTTTAAAAAATTTATTATAATAATAATAATAAAATCTCATTTGCTGTGACATACTATGTTTTCGTGTAAGTAAAATAATAATAATAATAATAATAATAATAATAATAATAATAATAATAATAATAATAAATCACACAGTCCTAGACGCTTGGGAAGTGTTCGACGTGATTTTGTGATACGAAATCCAGCATATAGATCTCATTTGCTGTGACATACCGTGTTTTTTGGTCAATAAAATAATAATAATAATAATAATAATAATAATAATAATAATAATTCATTTGTATTCCGCCCTATCTCCCCTAAAGGACTCAGGGCGGATTCCAACAAACAAAAAAGCACAGAAGCAAACATTCAATGCCTCAAATGAATAAGCAGTGATTTTAAAACGTTTCTTCTGCAAATGTACAAGAGGAAGAAGAAGAGAAACCAGTTCGGCTGAAAGGCTGTGATCGTCAGTCAGAGTCACTTGTTTGTTTTTATGGAAAACACATGGAATTTTCAGATACCTGACAAGTATGTATAGATACATAGTATAGTGGTGCTGAGAAATCTGTGTGATAAAGTTGAAGTGATTGTAAGAGGTGGAAAATAACTACTCACCAGTTCTGTATGAGGCCGATAACTTGCGAGTAGGTTTTCCCAATGATGCTTTCACCATTCACTTTGACAAGACGGTCTCCTACAAAAGAAAACAGAAGTTAGTGACAGCCTTGTCAACATAAAAGTTAGTGGGCAGCAAATGATTTGTATGCATTTTGTTTATTCTCCTAGCATTGAAAACAAAGGGGGATGAGGTAAGGGCATACCATTGTCCTACGGTATTTGTATATATGGATTCAACCAACCACGGCTTGAAAATATTTGGGGAGAATTTCCAAAAAGCAACCATAAGTCAAGCCATTTGCTGACGTATAGACATGCCCTTCCTGCCATTTGTTTATTTATCGTGTCAGAAGCAACTTGCAAGTACAATTAAAATACATTTTTTAAAACTTGGCATTATGCTAAATGTCCTTTGACCAGAAGCTGGCCACTTGGAGTGCCTCTGGTGTCTCTGGGAGAAGGTCCTCCATTGTGCATATAGCAGAACTCTCAGGTTGTGCTGTAGTTCTATGGTTTGCTCTTCTCCGTACTCGCATGTCGATAGATCATCATGCTCTTTCTAGTACTTGTTGGAGTTGTTCACCGTGTTATAGAAGGGGCACCATTTCACTATGCTATTGTATATAATGGGAATTGAGCATCCACAGATCTAGGTATCTACTGTAGGTCTTGGAAACAAACCACAGTGGATACCAAGGACCCTGTGTGTGTGTGTGTGTGTGTGTGTAAGGGGGAGAATATCTAAAATAAGTGAAAGTCATTTTCATGTATTACATATGAAAGGCCATGGACTAACTAACACATGCTACAAAACACATGAATTCTGTGTCAATCACGACAAAGAGTTGGATTTTAAAACCCGCAGCTCAATTGGCACTTCACAGACCAGACTTCTGGGGTTGCTACTGTGGACCCATGGGTGGGGAGCCGCTTTGGGTTGAATCATACAGGTATGCACACTAACAGTATGGCAGAGTTTGCATGCATTTGCAGATGTACACAATACGGGACACTGCATGGAACAAGAAATTGATCCGACCTGAGAGGGAATTCCAATCAGAATTTGGATATTCTTATATTTTTAAAAGAATACCCTAAATTGGGGAAGGGGGTTCCCTTTTCTCACCTGTTCGGAGACCTGCCAGGTGTGCTGGACCATCTACCTTCACACTTTTCACAAAGATGGTGTCCATGGGTTCCAGACGGTTCCGCGAGGGTCCTATGGAGATGGAGAGAAAGAAATATAACAACAACAACAACAACAACAACAACAACAACAACACTTTATTTCTGGACCACACACTCTCCCCAGAAGGACTCAGGGTAGTTTACACATTAAAAGGCAAACATGCAATGCCTCAAAATACGTGGAAACACATCAATTAATACAAAATAATGAAGAGTAGCAAAAAGGAATTAAGCATCAAAATAAAATAAAAACAAAAACATAAACATTACAACGTACATCCTAAAAACAAATTCTGAGACATTACATTAAAAATGGCGGACAATGGTGTTACATTTAAGACATATCATTACAGCCATCTAATACACATAGACAAAATTATGAATTAACTGGACTGACTTCATGGTGTTGACAAATGTTTTAACTGCTTTTAACCTAATGATTTATTTATTGTTTTAAACTATTGATATATTGTTGTTTGTTTGCATTTATGGCATTGAACTGTTGCCAATGTAAGCCGTCCTGAGTCCCCCTTTGGGGATTGAGAAGGATGGGATAGAAATGCTGGAAATAATAATAATAATAATAATAATAATAATAATAATAATAATAATAGATTAGCCAGCAGCCCTAATCTTCTTCTTCTCCATATGCTAAAGTATATAGTTACGTTTTTAGAAGTTTCTTAAAGGAGAGGAGGATGGGGGCCATTTTTATTTCTATAGGGAGGGAGTTCCAGAGATGGGGAGTGATCACAAAGAAGGCCTCCTCTCTCATACTCACCAACCAAGCTTGTGACAGGGGTGGAATGGGGAGAAGGGCCTCCTTTGTAGACCACACGTGATAGTCTATACAGTGATATGAAATTTGACAAATAGCCTGGTCCTGAATCATTTAGGGCTTTATAGGTAATTTAGACCGGAAGCGAACGGCAACCAGTGGAGCTGTCACAGGATAGGAGTCGTCCAGTTAGCAATCTGGCCGCCGATCTCTGCACTAATTGCAGCTTCTGAACTATCTTCAAAGGCAGCCCCATGTAGACAGCATTGCAGTAGTCCAAATGGGATGTGACTAAGGCACGCACTACCATGGCTAAGTCTGGCATCTCAAGGTATGAGTGCAGCTAGTGCACAAGTTTTAGCTGTGTGAAGGCGCTCCTGGCCACCGCTAACACCTGGGATTCCAGGGCCAACAATGAGTCCAGGATCACTACGGGCCTGCGGACCTTCAGAGGAAGTGTAACCCCATCCAACATAGGTTGAAATCCCATACCCTGATCCACCTTACAACTGACCAGGAGTACCTCTGTCTTGTTTGGATTTAGTTTCAGCTTGTTGGCCCTCATCTAGTCCATTACTGATGAAAGAAACATGGAGTCTTTGGATTTCTTACACATAATTATAGAATCATAGAATCAAAGAGTTGGAAGTGACCTCATGGGCCATCCAGTCCAACCCCCTGCCAAGAAGCAGGAATATTGCATTCAAAGCACCCCTGACAGATGACCATCCAGCCTCTGTTTAAAAGCTTCCAAAGAAGGAGCCTCCACCACCTTCTGGGGCAGAGAGTTCCACTGCTGAATGGCTCTCACAGTCAGGAAGTTCTTCCTAATGTTCAGATGGAATCTCCTTTCTTGTCGTTTGAATTTGTAGTTTGTAATTGTATGATTATTCAAGATCCAGATTTGGGGGGTTGATAAGGTGATGAACAGACAAACTGGCCATATAACTGGAATCAGACTTGCCTAGAAAACAACCATGGTTTGACACAATCCAAAGAGTGCGTGGCCATGCCATTCGTGGCTACTTGCAATTCCTAGAGCTCCTCAAACCACAAGCCCCCGTGCCTGGCTCTGAAGGGCAGCAGACTGCAGCACCCAGGAAAGCCAAAAGTTTTCTATCAAAGATAAAGAGCAGTGATGCGTTCCGACGGCATCAGATTTGCTCAGCTCAAAATCCTGCCTTGAGGCACTGGAGTCGCAATCCTGTCCTTCAGACAGAAAAGAAAGCAGGGAGTAGCATAATGCACCACAACTTTGCTATATTCACATTCTCTTTATCTTCAAAGGAACCACGGGACGTCCCTTTAAACTCCACTAACCAGCAGTCCTATCAACACTATCAAGACACCAGCACAGATAGAATTACAAACTAGAACAGACTGAAGTGTGGAGTAGAGCCATCTCTACCTTTAGGCATAGTAACATAACTCAGATTTGAGATGGCACGAAAGAACAGCAAATTGTTAGTTACTTAATATCTTATTACTTTTTTTAACCTCAAGATATGGGAAGAAGTTCTTTTTGTGCCTCAGGGGCTGGCTTTATACACTGAACACCTTCACTTGAATGGGATGGTGGAGGGAAGGAGCCTGTTGTTGCTCTGCCTCAAGCAGCAAATTGTTTGTAGTAGCCCCATTATTGTTAAAAGGGACATATGGTTGCAATCATGCAAGCAAAGTGGCAAGTTATAAGAAGGGCATTTGGGCGTTTTATAAAACGCTAGCTGTCCCCTGCCACGCGTTGCTGTGGCCCAGTCTGGTGATCTGGAAAATAAAGCAATGTGAAAGTGTTGATTTCTAATGTATGTAATTTCTTCCTGCTTGTGAGTAAGCAGTATTTCTTGCAGTTTCTTTGTCAATGTTGATGTAGAGTTTGTCTGGTTTGCCTACTCTGGAATAGGCAACATATCATTGTCCTTCTTTAGGGGTCCCTTTCAAATCTAGGATAGTATATCTCTCTGTGTGTGAATCATATATATCTATATCTATGGCTGGATGGCTCTTTGTCAGGAGGGCTTTGATTATGTTTTCTTGCCCTGGTGAAGGGAGTTGGACTGGATGGTCTTAAATATTTTCTGTTGGTCATAGGGGTTCTGTGTGAGAAGTTTGCCCCAATTCTGTTACTTGTGGGGTTAAGAATGCTCTTTGGTTGTAGGTGAACTATAAATCCAAGTAACTACAACTCCCAAATGTCAAGGTCTATTTTCCCCAAACTCCATTTGTTTGCATATTTGCACATATGGAATATTCGTGACAAGTTTGGTCCAGATCCATCATTGTTTGTGTCGAAAGTGCTATCTGGATGTTGGTGAACTACAACTCTCAAAGTCAAGGTAAATGCCCACGAAACCCTTCTAGTGTTTTCTGTTGGCCATGGCAGTTCTGTGTCCCAAGATTGGTTCAATTCCATCATTGGTGGAGTTCAGAAAGCTCTTTGATTGTGGGTGTACTATAAATCCCAACAACTACAACTCCAAAATTACAAAATCATTTTTTTGAGTGAAGGACATACATTGGGTTGTTAGGTGTATTGTGTCCAAATTTGTTGTCAATTCATCCAGTGGTTTTTGAGTTATGTTAATGCCATAAACGAACATTACATTTTTATTTATATAGGTGGAGACACACTGCAAATCTCGATTCTGACTGAAGATTCATGCAAGATGAAAGACCACAAGTTCAATGGAGCCAAGCTTCAAAATCAAACTATATGTTTCTCTTTTTTGAACCTTAAAAAAGATACACAAAAGCTGACCCACGTCTGAATCACTGCACAAGTAGGTTGGTGAATCCTAATATTTAACTATGACATCCACATAAGTAAAGGTAAAGGTTTTCCCCTGACATTAAGTCCAGTCATGTCCGACTCTGGGGGTTGGGGCTCATCTCCGTTTCTAAGCCGAAGGGCCGGCGTTGTCCATAGACACCTCCAAGCTCATGTGGCTGGCATGACTGCATGGAGCGCCGTTACCTTGCCGCTGGAGCGGTACCTATTGATATATTCTCATTTGCATGTTTTCAAACTGCTAGATTGACAGAAGCTGGGACTGACAGCGGAAGCTCACACCGCTCCCCAAATTCGACCTTTAGGTCAACAAGTTTAGCAGCTCAGTGGTTTAACCCACTGTGCCACTGGGGGCTCCGACTTCCACATATATACACCTATAAACAAAGGACATATTTTTGAAGATGTGCATGGAATGCATACTTTTAGGGAGCTAATTGATGTTCTCAAAAGCCTCCTATAAACATTGTTAATCCCAGAAAAGCTGTGTGCTTCCCCAATGGGCCCTGAAATCTTCAAGAGAGGCCCATTACCTTCATAGATATGGTTGATAAGGCCATGAGCATTAGCACTCTCATGGGAGGCTTTCAAGCCCGGAGACCAGTAGTTCTCAACCGGTGGATCCCAAGGTGTTTTGGTCTACAACTCCCAGAAATCCCAGCCAGTTTACCAACTGTTAGGATTTCTGGGAAGGCCAAAACATCTGGGGACCCACAGTTTGAGGACCACTGCCCTAGACTTACAAACCCCCTCTCTTGCTAGGCTAGAATGGCTCCTTCTTTGCTAAATCTGGGAGATATTTCTATTCCATCAGGCTTTTAGAAGTGAAAGCTTTTAGGGAAAGGACTTGCAAAAGGGTGGTATATTGTTTTAAATGGTTCTAACAGCATTAATACAGTAGTTTAGTTCTGTTTTAGCCTTAACTTCTTGTATGCCTTCTGATATACTGTAGTCATTTTGATATCATTTTGTTTCCAACAGACCTCACAACCTCTAAGGATGCCTGCCATAGATGTGGATGAAACGTCAAGAGAGATTCATTGGAACATGACAGGAAAACTCACAGCGACCCAAAAGATGAATACTTTGTTCCTAGAAAGGTAATTTTTCTCCATCTACGACCCAATGAAAAGAAGATCTAACAATCCTTAAAATATTTGAAAGAATGTGTAAAGATGCCACCAGTTTGTAACAGTTAGGAGCCACCACTTTGTAAGGACTTACTAAATTGATAACACAACTAATGGCTTGTAATATTGAATTGGTCTTTCTTCAATGTGTAGCGTGGCTTAACTTGAAAGTATTTGTAACTGAGACTTGGCTTTAGAAGAAACTGTAACAAGTTTATTGAAGTATAGAAGAAGCTTGATAGTTTCGATGTTTCTTAACTCTTAAAGGCACATATCTTCCGAGGTTACATTTATAACATTTTATAAAACAACTCTTAAGAGGACTATTCCTTCCACTAAACAGGTTTCAAACTTATTTTCCTTCAAAATGTGTGTCTTTCTTTGACAGATTACTTCAGGCACAAGCTTGTTCTTTCCTTATGTTATTTCTGTTGCAATAAAGATTCTTATTAGGGTTCTCTCCCCCTTTTGCTCATACACTAACTAATAATATAAATAAGTCAACTCGACCTATCTAAACTGCACAGGCTAAAAGCCAAAACCTTCCTGATTCTCAACACAGTAGAATCAGCCTTTCCCTGTAGTTCTTAGACTACAGGCTACCTTACTGGTTCTCAACACACAACAGAACCAGCCTTCCCTGTAGTTTGCTGACTACGGACTAACTGTTTTAAAATTGCTGCCCTGCCAAGTGGCAGTTGGCTCCGCCCCTTTTTTCATGGCAACCCAGCTCAAAGTGAGCTGAGCTAGCTACCATTCCCCCCCCCCAAGTTATGCTGGTTTAAATACCCTTTTAAACACCTATCTATAATTACACATAACTGCAGATTAAAATTCACACTTCACCACAGAATGGTGCATAGACAACATTTATAAAGGGACTTATATCTGGAAATTTGGTCAGCTTTTATAGAAAGGCATTTAAAATTGTGTTATCTTTTTGTATTTTTATGTCCCTTCTTTTGTTACACTGGAACATTGTTTTGGGTAACAAATCCCTTTTGAATGAAAATTTAAAATATTTTTTAAAGTAAAAATAAGTTTTAAAAGATATGCACACACAGATGTCCATAAACACATAAATCCTATTCCGGATACAGGACACAAGCATAGTTACATACCCGTTCTGTTTCCATTTTCTTCCTCCTGTAAAAGAAAAGAGAGAATGATCATGTATATTTTTGAACAGGGCATAGCCAACTCACAGAGTAAGTAAAGGATGAGATAGGCTGCTCAACTCTTTTTAGTACTCATTGTTTTTCTCCTTAAAAGTGTCCTACTAAATCAGTATTCTTTCCTATAGAGAAATTATATGAGGACTCATATTGTTTACTTTGTATAAAGTGAACAGATAGAGAGTGTTGGAGCATGTAAAAAATCAGTTAGTGTGCATGTGTGTCAACTGTAAAATAAGATGCACCAAGCTGATTGGACAGGCTATTCCCGGGGAGCTGGCTGAGCCTGGGACTTTTGGATACAGTTACATTTTTAGGCTTGAGCTATGCACGTGCTTGCAGAGAAGTAGAAGTTTGCAGAGAGAGAGAGAGAGAGAGAGAGAGAGATTGTTTGGAGTGTTCTCTTGCTTCATAAGCCATAAGCTGCTGGAACAGCGTTTCTCAACCTAGGGGTCGGGACCCCTGGGGGAGTCGTGAGGGGTTTTCAGAGGGGTCGTGAAAGACCATCAGAAAATGCAGCATTTTCTGTTGGTCATGTGGTTTCTGTGTGGGAAGTCTGGCCCAATTCTATCTTTGGTGGGGTTCAGAATGCTCTTTGATTGTAGGTAAACTATAAATCCCAGCAACTACAACTCCCAAATGTCAAGGTCTATTCCTCAAACTCCACCAATGTTCACATTTGGGCATATTGAATATTTGATGCCAGATTTGTCTGGATGTAGGTGAACTACAACTCCAAAACTCAAGGTCAATGCCCACCAAACCTTCCAGTATTTTCTGTTGGTCATGGGAGTTCTGTGTGCTAAAATTGTTTCAATTCCATCGTTGGTGGAGTTCAGAATGCTCTTTGATTGTAGGTGAACTATAAATCCCAGCAACTACAACTCCCAAATGACAAAATCAACCCAACCCCCCCCCCAGTATTCAAATTTGGGCATAACGGATATTTGTGCCAAATTTGATGCAATGGATGAAAATGCATTCTGCATATCAGATATTTATATTATGATTCATAACAGTAGCAAAACTACCGTTGTGAAGTAGCAACAAAAATAAGGTTATGGTTGGGGCGGGGGGTGTCACCATAACATGAGGAACTGTTCTTAAGGCATTAGGAAGGTTGAGAAATACTGTGCTGGAGGAAGATTCTCCACATGGGCAAAGAAAGACCATTTTAAATCCCTTATAAAAGGACATTATGTGAGTCGATGTAACTGATCACATGATTGTACATATGTTGTTCTGAATTATGAAGAGTAAACTATCATTCTCCTGGCATTCAACATGCTGTATAGATTTATCTTGTGCAGTTAGAAAATATTAAATTCATTTCTGGATGTTGCCATCTAAAACAGTCTATGCAAAATTTAACAAATTCTTCTGCAATTTCTTTATACATCACTGCTAAATGGTTACAGTTCTCTGTTGGATTGAAGACTGCAGATTCCTTGCCAAAACTTCTGCCCTCTCCAACACAAAAATATTATTATATAGCATATAACAGATTTTTTTTACACTTTAAATGTGCCCAACAGCATCCAATTTATTTTTTTTCTGTTGTAGTTGGTACATTATGGCCACAAACTGATGCCTTTGATGTTGGCTTTTGCATCTAGCTTTTTCTATCACCCTCATGCTTGTTTCTTCATTCTTTTCATTTGTTTGTTTTAGAGAGAAACTGCACTGTTTGATCTCCCATTTACTTTTCCAAAATCTCTCTCTAAAAAAAAGCCTGTGACAGTGTCTGTTTTTCAAACAAATTCTGAGCATACCAAAGTTTTAATCCCCAGACATGGACATAATATTCTTCGACTAAGTGCAATCTAGTAGAAAATGGTATTACAATCAGCAAATGTCTCACTTCTAACAAGCCAATATTCGCCAAACTGGTGCCTCTAGAACAGTGTTTCTCAACCTGGGGGTCGGGCCCCTGGGGGGTCATTAGGGGGGTGTCAGAAGGGTCGCCAAAGACCATCAGTAAACACAGTATTTTCTGTTGGTCATTGGGGTTCTGTGTGGGAAGTTTGGTGGGGATCAGAATGCTCTTTGATTGTAGGCGAACTATAAATCCCAGTAACTACAACTCCCAAATGTCAAGGTCTATTTTCCCCAAACTCCAACAGTGTTCACATTTAGGCATATTGAGTATTTGTGCAAAGTTTGGTCCTGATCCATAATTGTGTGAGACAACCGTGCTCTCTGGATGTAGGTGAACTACAACTCCCAAACTCAAGGTCAATGCCCACCAAACCCTTCCAGTATTTTCTATTGGTCATGGGAGTTCTGTGTGCCAGGTTTGGTTCAACTCCATTGTTGGTGGAGTTCAAAATGCTCTTTGATTGTAGGTTAATTATAAATCCCAGCAACTAATACTCCCAAATGACAAAATCAATCCCCCCAACCCCACCAAAATTCAAATGTGGGTATATCGGGTATTTCTGTCAAATTTGGTCCAGTGAATAAAATACATTCTCGATATCAGATATTTACATTATGATTCATAACAGTAGCAAAATTACAGTTGTGGAGTAGCAACAAAAATGTTATGGTTGGGGATCCCCACAACATGAGAACTGTATAAAGGGGTCACGGCATTAGGAAGGTTGAGAACCACTGCTCTAGAAACTGGATTACAATTCCCATCTTCACTGAGCCAAAACAGCAAAGCCATGTTGGCTAGAAGTAATGGGAGTTGCAAGTCCAACACATCTAGAGGGCACCAAGTTTGAGGAACACAAGTCTATATTTTTAAATTCATTATATCAAACTAGTTTTTACTACCTTCAAGTCCACTGATCTGTTTGTGTCTACTATAAATATGACTCAGTATCTATGCAACCCAATATTTTTAGAAACTTCTCTCAGTGCATAATAACTACATTTAGCTCCCCACATTCACAGAGTTCAGGAGTGCAGATGTTGGAAGTGAAGAAGCATCAACACTTGTATAGAGGGGACAGAGGGAACGCCACGGTGCATGCCTGCTGTCTTGATTTCGCCTCTATGTAACTATGTAACTCAAGGTGTTTTGCTTCTTTCCTGCTGAATTAAAGCAGATTGATCACCACTTTTAACTGCTCAATCTTGTGAGTTGTGGTTTTGCAAGGGCTTTAGCCTTTGCTGCCAAAGAGGGTTGGTGCCTCACCAAACTATAAGCCCCAAGATTCCATAGAATTGAGCCATGACAGTTAAAAGTGGTGTCAACCTGTATTCATTCTACAATGTAAATGCATCCTACATCTCCTTTGCTATCATACCTACTTTTTATCACACAATTTATACATTAAACAGCAAAATCAATAATAACAGTCATTACATAATTAAATATGAGCATTTTCTAGTCATTTTGGTTAGCCTTGTGTGCTTTAAAATGAGCAGTCTAGATCTGGACTGCTCTTAAATTTAACACCTTTCCAATTCCAATTGCAAACCACAACTAGTCCAACAAAATCCCCAGATTAATAGGCTTTTGCTTCATTACTCTGTTCCATTCTATACATGCCCCATATACAAATATTTCCTGTAGTCTTCCTTACCACATGCAAACACTGGCCAACTTTACTTTTAAGATAGTATCAGTTAAGCTAAGCACAAAATTACATATAATTCAAAGCAGCCTTAAAATAGTATAGCTAAACGCTGGGAAAACAAGCCATGATCTAAAAACTCAACCACCACAATCCAGCCAGGAAATAAGTATGCTTCCCTCCACCACCTCCAGTCCTTCTGAGCTCTACTCCTTATCAAGAAACATCAACATGAACACAATTTGCAAATTTGCAACTAATGGCTGCAAATCATCTCTCCAATGGCATAGTTGAAGTATTGACCATCTCTTAGCATAGGGACCAGACTATTATGGCTATCCACAGTAATTTTCAATATAATGTATTTTCTTTCTGCACACAAAATAGAAGCTCATTATTCTCCAATACTTGCAAAATAGCTTTGAAAATTACTCCATCTCTACCTTCCCATAAGTAGACCTTTACGAAGAGGGCATGGGAACAAGGTGCCATCTTCTATCATTCTACAGCTGTTGTCCTTCTTCATTTCTTGGAAGATCATGGAATGAAGATAGTGGGGGGAAAGTCCTCAGTTCCACTATCAGAGCTACCCACATCCTGACTGGAAGTCTTCAGAGAACTGGCAATTTTCCTCGCCAGACACCGCCCCAACATGTGCAAATGTGCTTTCAAGTCACCTGTTGGTTTATTGGCAACTTCATTAATGTCACATTACCTTCTTAGGGAAGAAATATTCAGAGGCGTTGTGTTACTGTCTTCTTCTAAAATATAGCCCACAGCACCTGGAAGTTCTTGGTCATCCAAATGCTAACTAGGTTTGAATCTGCTTAGTTTCTAGGATAAGACAGGATCTGGTGCCTACAAAGTATCTAGGTGTGATGCCGCTCTCCTAGACTGACGTTTTATAGAGGTCATATGACAAAGCAATTAAGCAATTAAGTCAAACAGTCTTCCCACTTTAAAGAACGCAAAAGCCCTACACCTCTACATTCCCAAACAAGATGGAACTCAACTTCTGCCTCACTGTCTCAGACAAAATAAAAACCCATTCAGGCTGTATCCTAGAGCTCAGATCCATAACACACTCCAAAGAAAAAGGGCTTGGTCTGCAAAAATGCAAACTCAACCCCTTTCCCACTCCTTGGCCTGTTCTTAGAAGGCAAGGCTGGAAAGGGAGAAAGAACAACCTGGGTAAATAGCCTGCTGGCAAGCAATGCAGTTGCCCTATGTCAGGGGTCCTCAAACTAAGGCCCGAGGGCCGAATACGGCCCTCCAAGGTAATTTACCTGGCCCTCGCTCAGAGTCAACCTAAGTCTGAAATGACTTGAAAGCACACCACAACAACAACAACAACAATAGCAATCCTATCTCATCAGACAAAAGCAGGCCCACACTTCCCATTGAAATACTAGTAACTTTATATTTGTTAAAATTGTTCTTCATT